ATTAAATGGCTAGTACGTAAGGTTGGGGTTATAAGCGGAGAAACTGACACCTTCGGTCAATTGGTGAGGGATCCCCGAGTTATGGATCGCCTGACTGTTCGAGAAGCATAACCAAGCAGGCGGACAAGAGTCGATCCCGGCAAAACAGGTGAAACTCGCGTGGAACCACCTGCCGTTGACTTTGGAAGCAAACTCTCGGATTGCGGGCTCACCAAGTACGTGGACTTCAGTAGAGGTTGGCGTCGATGTACCCGAAAAGTGGCTTCACCCAAGAGGCCGGGGACAAGTCACTACCGAGATGCAAGTCCCGAAGGCTGGGTAATATATCGTATTGCGACCCGCGTTGGCTTTTTATCTCAAGAAAAGAAAAAGGAGAGGCTCAGAATAGGAATGATCAACTTGGGGGGCTTTCTGCCTTATGAGGGGGGCATAACAGAGGACTGGCAACGACTTTCCTGTGTTGCACTGCAGAGATAGCCACGCGGGGGCCTCGCTCGCTCAAGCATCCCTGTCGCTCAATACCCTGTCTCTTGGCCGGTGAGCTGGAAGAGCGCCAGCAGGGGTCCTTGGAAAACCATCGGATGGGAAATCAATTAATGGCTGTGACAAAGCACACCGGAAACCTCGCAAAGTAAACGCTCGGATGGCACCTAGAGATCTTCGCCAGACGTAGGCTAGCGACAGTCTGGGAAATCCGTTGGATTGTTCGTCAGGCTAGACTCGTCTATTGTCAGTCGTTGTCGCTCGAAGCTCTTCACCGTGCCTTAACCTCTCGTCCTGTCGTTACCGTAATGATTCTTTTGCCTCCTGCTGTGAGCCAACACACACAGATGACGGATGAGCAGGAAGACGGTTCCAATATGCAGGCCTTGGTTCTTTGCGCATTTCTGATAGGTAGGCCTAACGGAGGATGTTGATGCATCCGTGGAGGACCGTCCACGAAACGAGTGCCAAAAGTGGGCTCTCTTCTCGTATTCAGAGGCTGTACTAGTACTACGCCTGTGCCAGGGGTACCTGAATCACATCAGGCCGTTCGTACCTTGAGGCGGGAGATAGCCAGATCTCGAACCTAACACTGGGTTCCTGCTTGTCCATTTTGGGGCATGATTGACGTATCTTAAGGTCCCGATACTTCTATTCGGATGCATGGCAGACATGGCCCAAAGGCGCCATTTCCAGCCGCACCTCGTCCGTACAGGGGCTTTTCTAGGTCCCAAGCCGTATCTAGTCAGTATATTGAAAGGAATGGGCCATGCTTGATGCCCTGAGAAATTTTTTGAAACCTGCAGGTCGCTGCCGGTTTCTCAATGGGGCAACAACTGAGGTTGATGGACCAAAACACTGATTCCGAAAGCTTATGCTTGGGAGGCTCGCTGGCCTCGGAGCCTTGCTCGTAACGGTCAGCTACGGCCCGCATGTCTTAAAGTTTGTGCGAGTAGAGATAAGGAAGCACCCGAAGGCGCAATAAAAATCCACATCGTGACAACGCTAGGTGGCCCCATCATCGTTGCTGTCGAGCTTCTACGCTGCAGGAGTTCTGCAAGAGGTTGGACGCTCAAGCTCAGTGCTCCGCTCAACATTCAGTAGCTGAACAAAAGTCTGTGGCCACGGACGAATTGAGTTGGGCCCAAGATCAAATATTGGCTGTTTGATTGCATGTCTATTCGTCAATAGTCGTCGTTCTGCACCACTATCGACGGCGGGAACATTCCTGGGCTGGGCGCTCACCTCGTAGTCTTGGACGCTACCACGTTTCCTGGCCTAGCGCCCACCCTGAGCCTCTCCTGGCGGTCTCTTTTCCGATGCTCTATGGGGACCTTATCTTTGCCATTGCCATTGTCTTTCGCTAGAATTCCCTAGGGTTGCTAGGTCGCCTAAGCCCTGCCGTAATTCCCGGATCGTCAGTGGATGCGTCGTGGAACTGTCCGAGGCCCCTGGGCAGCCGTGTCAGCCTAGCGAAGACTTTATTCGAACAAGTTTAGCTGCCGAGATGTGAATGCTAGCTAGTTCGAATGTTAGCAAAACCACCCAATGACCAGGGGCCCATATCTGCTGAACTTCCGACGCTCGTCATAATCCACACCAAACACTTCATCTGTGATCCCACGCACCTCAGTCCGCAGCTTGCTGTAGCGTACACTATTCTGGAGACAGCGGTGTCGCAAATGTTTCAGCGTCCTGACTGTGGGTCACTCTGCGGTCGCAAAGCATCGGGCGCCTCCGAAACGACCGGCGGCGTTTCCTATGCCGCCGCAAATTGTAATAGTCTACTGAGAACGAGCGTGGTCTCGTAGCGGCGCCTCTGGTGTACCGACAGTGTCTAGCCGAATTCATTTCGATCTCTCCAGGCCTCTCTGCTGCTTCTGCTTCTTGTGGCAGAATGGAGCGCCGGGACGATAAGGAGATTGAGGGTTCCTTTGGGTAGGTTGTGCGAACTTTGTGCCAAATGCAAACTGTGGTAGCAACCCACGGCGGCCGCGAGAGGCAGCCACAGCGCGACCCCCGAGAGATACGCTGTGATTTGGAAAGAAGCAGCCCAATCTTGCTACCCCTTCCATAAATGGCATCACCTCCTAGCAAGAAGGAGCGTGTGGCGTTTTCCTACATGAAGCTGTGGTCTATCGCAGCTGCCCTTGGCGCCCGGGACAGGGGTAAGGTTGTTATGGTTGAGCCTCCCTGCAAGCCCGCCTTTCCTCTCTCGACCGCGCACAGAAAGGCGGACCTTGTTGCTACCAGGGGACCATGGGGTCATGGGCAGCACCTAGGCCCTCATTCTGACAGGGGCTGGCCCGGCATATGTTGGATGAGCTGGGTGTCTTACTACGTACTGCATAGTAGGCTGTAGCTGTCCCTCTTCTCAGCATCGGGATTAATCAAAGAGAATGGTCATGTAGAGCTGCGGTCAGCAGCCAATATTGAATCGCTAATTTCCGCCCCTCACTCAGCATGGCCATTATCGTGAGCCGTGATTACAGACGCAGCGTGGGGAGATGTTCCTTCTCCTTTTTCCAAAGACCGTCTGGATTGCCTACCTCAGGTACCTAGGTAGGCTGGCTGTCCAGGACAGCAACTACTACAACCAGGATACCGCAGTGATGCCATTTCATGTTGCACTCCCTACAAAATAGAGTATCGACCCCGACCTCCTACCTCGGAAGGTCGCATAGTCTGCTTGCTGGTCTTATTAACTTTAAACAATGTTGTGCAACCAAAAAGTACGTACTCTCCATTTGCAGAGCCTCTGCCCTCCGTCTAGCCGCTGAGACCTGACCCTGGCGCCACCTGAGACCTCAAGTGGTAGAGGTGCACACTTTGAAAATTAACACCATGAAGACAGTTGAGTGTTGATCGAAAAGACGGCAATGACAACAAGTTGGTTGCTTATAACCTACTCTCTTTTGGCAAATTACTCGCACAGGTAGATAGCTGCTTGATGACTCAAAGCAAGTTGGTGACATGGCTTTGGGACAGTCTCTTCGCTTGTTGCTCAGGCAGCGTTGGCTGGGAGCACTACAGAGCGTGTTATGTTACAGTTGAGCACAAAGAACTATACGGGGCCACAGCGTGATAGTAAACCGGGAAACAATGTGGCACGTTTTACGAAGTGTACGGCCATACTTTGCCCATGTAATAACTAACCCCCAAGCTCTGAACAAGCCACACCGTCATTACTCACTCCAGAGGTTAGAGTGAACCAGTGTTGCACAGAACCCTGTCTTCTCTTGCAAAGAATTCTAGAATCTCTCGGACCAGCTTCATACGGATTGCGAACATAGGTTGCTACTAATAGCGGAACCGGAGGCACGTCCGCTTCCTATAGCATAGCAACGATGGTCAACATTAAGAACAATACTTCATTACTAGTAATCACCTTCAAAATAGAGAATCGCTTAATTATTGAGAGACAGGTTACAGTCTCATGTTCGGAGCCCAGCAGTCGGGTCCTAAGGAGTTGTGAACAGTCTAGTGATTTGAATCTTGGAAGTTATATCATGTGCGCAAGGCGTGTTGCTCCTCAAAAAAATCGATACACGGTGCTTTTCAGCTTAGCACGACTCGAACTTTCTGGAATCAAGATCAGTGTGTTACCCCGATAGCCAAGCCAGATGATGTTCTCTGCGTTCAGTTATCCAGGCTATCTGTCCCGCAGTCAATAAAATCTGTGGTATTACTAGGCAGCTTATTGAAATAGATGAGCCACAGCTAGCCGTTTGACTTGCTTTCATTTCTTAAGACTGAATAGCGATGCTAGAACAACTTATATGTAGTCAACTGAACAGGGTGGCTGGTATCACCCGGCACATATGGGGAGGCTGAGTGGATGGAACCATTCAAGAGACCTGTGTCGTCATGGTTCGAACCAAGGGCCTGGAATTCTCTTTATGGATTGTGCCATTTTTGACATGTGAAGCGCAGCAGAAAGATGAGACGAAAGGGTGACAGGGACGAATAGTAAGGATAAGCGCGCGATAAATTTAGGCAAGGAGCCGCAGTACTAAGGTGATTACCTAAGCTTGGCGGGTGGCCACTCAATGCAGTATGGTGTCGCGCGGCGGGTCATAGCGAACTTCTCTCGGTCGGCCCAACACTCACCATCGCAAGACCTCATCGCAATCAGCGCCACAACCCAACCACGACTGCTCGTGACGGGCCTCGCTGATCAGCATAGGCAACTCTCAAGGCACCTGGTGTATTGGTTTCTTATCTTTCGGATCACGGGTGTTGGCTCGCTTTCCTTCATTGATGGCTCCTTAAGTACCCGATCTCCAACCTCCGACCGACGTCACTGCCTTTGCAATTTAATCACCGACGACCTCTACCCCTTCTTCCTACCCGAAGAAAGCGCGCGTCCTCTTCGCGCGCATTTCCCGACAAAGGTGGCGGCACTCACACTCCTCAGTCAGACCGACACCGAGTTATCGCTGCAGCAACACTTGGATCTCGCTCCCGACCTGCTCACCTACAATCGCATCGCGACCGAGGGGGATCCCCAACCTTTGATGATGGCACAATCGGTGCCTCATCCCTCGACCGACAAGAAACGGGTCAAGGTCTACGAGTTGCGTAACAACGACTGGTTTGACCGAGGCACCGGTTTTTGCACGGCTGCCTTCGTCCCGGTACGTGTCAGCCTTGTTCCACGCCTCCACCCCGCAAACCCCACGTTGACTTCCTGGCGTATACACTTGTCTAATGACACATCATCTACTCGCTTGTTGTCTATGATAGTAGAGGCTAATTGTATCATCATTCAATTCAGATTGACGATGGCCAGTCCAAAGAACCGAGGGTCATTGTGGAGTCAGAGGACCAACCAGATAGGTTATTGTTGGAAACAAGGATCTGTAGAGAGGATGGCTTTCAAAAGCAGCAAGGTTTGTTGTCACGACGCAATTTACGGTTACTGGCTACTAACCATCGCTGCAGAGACCCTGATTGTCTGGACTGAACCCAGCAATGGGGTAGACATGGCTCTGAGCTTTCAGGAAGCCGAAGGTTGCGCCCTGATATGGTCCGTAACAACCCACATCTCATCTATCTCTGAATCAAAGAGCCTCGCTGCTGACGATTTTGACACAGGAAATTTGTGAATGGGGTCCAGCAATCTTTCCAGAATTCCATTGGTGGACCAGGTATGATTGCTCAATGGATTTCAATATCTACATTCAAACTAATGCATGATTTATAGACGACAGTCTTTCCGACGATCTCGCTATGGATATGCCGACGGCTATTCAGCTTCCAGCAGCAGAACTTGGTAATCTCGGCGAGTTAGAAAACAATATGCGGATGATGAGCTCGTCAGCAAATGGCCGGGACGCTCTTGCTAAGTGCATCATGAACGAGGACTACATTAACAAGCTCATCCCCCTTGTCGAAATGGCCGAAGACCTCGAAAGCCTTCAAGATCTTCATAGACTCTGCAACATCATGAAAACTATCCTCCTACTCAATGACACCACAATCATCGAGCATGCAGTATCAGACGACTGTGTTCTTGGAGTCGTAGGAGCTCTAGAATATGACCCTGACTTCCCTCAGCATAAGGCGAATCATCGACAGTGGTTGAATAATCAGGGCCGATATAAAGAAGTCGTTCGTATCGAGGACGATCAGATTCGGCGAAAGATTCATCAGACCTACAGGTTACAGTATCTTAAGGACGTTGTGTTGGCTCGTATTCTGGATGATCCCACCTTCTCAGTGCTGAACTCTCTCATCTTCTTCAATCAGGTTGATATCGTTCAACATCTTCAATCGAACGGTGGCTTCCTCAATGACTTGTTTGGCATTTTCGTCGACCCCACTGAAGAGCAGCTGAGGAAGAAGGAGGCTGTTCTCTTCATACAGCAGTGCTGTGCGATCGCCAAAAATCTTCAACCCCCCGCACGACAGACTCTATACAACAACTTCCTGGCCCATGGGCTGCTTCAAGTGATAAATTTTGGACTTCGGAACTTCGATGTATCCGTTAGGGTCGGCGCCACGGACATACTGGTATCAATGATAGACCATGATCCGCAAATGATCAGACAAACAATCTACCGCCAAATCCACGAAAAGCAATCGCCTCTTACCGACACGCTTATCGACCTGCTAATTGTAGAAGTTGACCTCGGCATCAAGTCGCAGGTCTCTGATGCACTGAAGGTTCTTCTTGACCCGAATCCCCCAGCACAGCCGCCAGAGAGCCTAATGAAGGCAAACCCGGAGTTCCAGGGCAGACGCCCGCAACCTCAAGTCGATCCGAACCAGGAGCTCTTCCTACAATACTTCTATGACCACTCAGTCGTCAAGCTATTCAGGCCGTTGCTTGAACTAGAGGGACGCACAGAGATGAAGTTTTCTGTCCAGAACGATGGCATCTTCAGCTACCTGAATGACATTCTCTGCTTCTACGTACGGCAGCATGGCAACCGCTGCAAGTTTTTTGTTCTAACAAACAACATTGCCCAGCGCTTTGCTCAGCTGCTCTCGTGTCGCGAGAAGCATTTACAACTCGGTAAGACCATTTGACTGTTTCATGTCTGGATGTTTACTAATAAAATAAGTTGCCATTCGATTTTTCCGTCAGCTGGTCACGTTGCAAGACGAATTCTATATCAAGCATCTGAAAGACGTCACAGCTCTTGGGCCAATTCTTGATGTTCTACTACGATCCCTACCGCGGGACAATCTTCTTTGCTCAGCTTGTCTCGATCTTTTCGAGCTAATCAAGAAAGAGAATCTCAAGGAGCTTGTCAGGCATCTGGTAGAGACACAGAGGGAGAAGGTCGCAGCTTTAAGTTACTTGGAGACATTCCGAGATCTACTCATTAGATATGAACAAACCCAGGGGTACACAACAAACATGGACTCGTACTTCATCGAGTCCGAGGACGATGTTGTCCGCCGACCTCCCAATGCAGGCGCGCGAGGCCTGATGGAGCATATAGCTGTGGATCCCGTCGAGGAGGAATATTGGAATACGTCAGATGACGAAGATGAGAACGTCAAGCCCGCGAGCGGTTCGGCCTCGGTCAACGGAACGCCGGCTTCAGCGAAGCCTCTAGTTGACTATGCATCTGATGAGGAGCCAGAGGAAAACGGAGACGCGATCATGTCACCAGCTTCATCTGAAGATGACAGAATCAAAGCAAACAAATCCGACGAAGATGATCAGAGTCCAAAGATTGGCGTAATCAACGCAAAGTCCCCGCCGGAGCGTCTTTCTGAGAAACGAAGACGTGAAGATGATGAGGATGACGAGCTCGGCAAGCTTATGCAGAACAAGCGACGCAACAGCAGTTCCGCGGGCCATAACGCTGGCACCACAACTGCTCTACGGAAAAAGAAGAGCTTCGCCAGCAATCGAGACTCCGGAGGGAACGGCCCGAAGAAAATAGCTATCAGCATCTCTCCCGCACTGAAAGCAGCGGCTGGGCAGGGCTCCCCGCAACAAGATGAGAGTACATAGCGAGGCTAGGGAAGCAATTCCGACACACACCTTCGGCAGCAATTGTGTCAGCGCATGGGTCAGGTGGACTTACGGGCTCATCAGACGTATCAAAGAGGCGTTTTTTTTTGGTAGGGTCGACGGATGCGATGTTTTATAACGACCCTGTTTGCGACAATGGATAGAGACTAGACTCTGAGGCAAGGTGGCAAGTGAGTCATGTGGTAAGGCGGATAACCTCTGTGCATTTTTGAGTGACGACCTACGAATGAGTTCTTATGGAAGGGGAATGGATCAATCAATTCAGGGCTAGGCCTGCAGAGTTTGTGTACTGTATCTATATATCAGATCCGTTTGGCGGACGGAGGTTCAAGAGCAAAGCCTCGATCGTGCTCACGGGACATTGCTTCCCTGTCAATTAATGAATGAGTATGATTGTCAACATGCGAATCCGTTTAAAATCTTGACCTTTCCATAGACTGGTTTTGAACGGCCATCGAAGAAAGACGGGTTGTGAAAGTCTATACCGTTGCCAAATGAGTGTGATACGTTGTCCTACCACCGAATCTCTGAAATCACGTAATCATACTGATAGGGTAGACTCGAAGAGCCATACTGACATCCTGAATTTCTAATCGTCTGGAATGAAAGAAGCGCAACTAGACCAGATCCTCGACCAGTATGGTACCAGTCTCGAGCGCAGCTTGGCCGTTGTGGAGGTTGCTGAATTTCGGACCTTATCCCACTAACCAGTAACATTATGCTACTAAAAGGTAAGACTATGTGGGGACCTCGGCCAGAAACAGCGACGAAGCTCAAGCTTTTGGACAGCTAGGAATTTTCAAGCTTCCTTCAACCAGACACTCTGCACAACAGCATCACTGGTGCTCAACGGTGCTACTGCACCATATCCGCGCGCAACATGTGAGGTCGAGCTCGGCGCTTCAGGACTGAGAATGGATCCTTCAAATGCAACAACGCTTAGCGATACCCTCTTGCAGAGCATTTCGACCATGATCGGGGACGCGCAGAGCACGGCTCTGTCGTCCGCCGCGGCGAGGGCTGATGAGGTGGTGGCTGCCACGAAGTCGTCCTCATGGATCGGACTGCTCGGCAGGCTCATCCTCGCTATCCTGCACTTGATCTCGACCATACTGTACTTTGCGCTCAAGATCACCACCATCAACATCCCCACCCTTCTCTTCACGCTCTTCTCCACGAGCTTGACCGTCACCATGAATGCCACCACACTCATGCTGATCATGGCACTCGTGATCTCGGCCGTCAGCTGGGTAGTCCGCTACCGCTATCTGAACATGTATTCTCGCTTGCCGCCAGAGCCGCAGCGGAAAGAGCCAGAGATTGATCTCTTCCCTGACACACATGAAGAGGGCATCAAGTCGGGGCTGGGCAACTATCTAGACGAGTTTCTGAGCGCTATCAAGATCTTTGGCTACTTGGAGCGACCCGTGTTCCACGAGTTGACTCGCAGCATGCAGACCAGGAAACTGATCGCTGGTGAGACCTTGAATTTGGAGGAAGAGAAAGGCTTCTGCATCGTGGTAGACGGCCTCGTCGAAATTTTCGTAAAGTCGGCTAGAAATAGTCGGCTCACGCCCGAGAACTCTCAACTAGGAGGTTCGAATTACAACGATTCAGACTTCAGCGAAGATGAAGAGAATCATGCCCCTGGTCAGCAGCGATACCAGTTGCTCACAGAGGTTCCAAATGGCACGCCCATGTCCTCGCTTTTCACAATCATGTCTCTTTTCACTGAGGATGTCAAGCTACGGCATACGGATGATGATAATTCTGAGCCAAACACCGCTATTGGTACTCGTAGTCATCCTAGATATCCTCTGAGCGCCGACTTCAGAAAGTCGTCCCATGACATTCCTGTGTCTTTTCCTAGCACTCCACAGTTGGACGATTCTGGAGATCGGCCTGATCCTAGGCAGTACGGGCCTACAAGGATGCCTTCTAACGGGAGCGCTACACTGCCCAACATTCCGCCCATGTCTCTCGATGCCGCATCCCCTCTTCACCCTCACCAAAGCAAGCGACCAGTGCCAAAACGTCTTGCCACAAACTCTGCACATCCAGACATCATTGCCAGGGCGACTGTGGATACCACAATAGCCATCATACCTGCGAGTGCGTTCAGACGATTGATAAGGATTTATCCAAAGGCAACGGCCCATATTGTCCATGTCATCCTGTCTCGCTTTCAACGAGTCACACTTGCCACGGCTTACAATTATTTAGGCCTGACGGGCGAGGTCCTCCAAACGGAACGAAATATGATCAAATATACATCCTCTCAGCTTCCTAACTTTCTCAGAGGTGATCCACTCGAGAGGCTGAAAGAGAAGTTCAAGAGAGAGCGAGAAAGGATCGGAGAAGATGAGGAAGGCAAGGGCATCGCTTTGCATAACTCCGGTGCTGGCCATCGCCGCCGATCGTCAACCCTTCGCAAAGAGGCAGTCTTGCAGGCCATATCTAAGAGACGGCCTACATCTGTCGTGACTTCTACAATCGCTCCACCGCATGAGCGAAGCTCAATTGACACACCTGGTCCGGGCGATTTGCTTGCAAATATTCAAATATCTCGGAGCGGAGGCAGGTCATCAAGCAACCTTGGTATCCCAGTAACTAGTCCGCCACAGAGCAATGATGCACTTCATAAGCAGACTGTATCGCCTCTGGCAGAAAAATCCTTCAACCCGTTCGCGACTCAAACACATGGACGCATCTCACTTGACAAGCGAGAAACGGCAGACGAGGACAATATCTTCCGAGAATCCATCCTTGAATGTATGTTTAAGGCCATCGGCCTTACGTCCAGCGGCACAGCATCAAGAGGCCCTGACTCTGTTGAAGCGTCGCCACGTCTCGTGTCATATGACCAAAGACGTCAAAAGGCCGTCTTCAGTAATAACGCTTTTGGTTTCATGGAGTCGTTCGATGGCTCGACCGAGGGAGACGCTGAATCAATGACCTCAGGTGGAATCACGATGAATGCCACCCCGAACGCTCATGCTCTTGCTCATGACATGAAGGATGAACTTGAGATAGTATTCTTCCCCAAAGGTTCCGTGCTTGTTGAGCAAGGGGAAAGAAATCCTGGTCTGTACTATGTTGTAGATGGCTTCCTTGATATCTGCATTACAGTGGAAGAGTCGTCGACCAATATTTTGCACACACCAAATCAATCATCATTTGAGGCCATGGACAGCACGGAATCTTTCCCTGCTCCTCGCCGATCTGCCACCACATCGTCACGGTTCTCTCTATCTGAGCTAGGCGACAGTGTTGGTGAAGGCCGGAAAAAGGGCAAGCTTAGTCGTCGCAGCGTTGCTCTTGTCAAGCCCGGTGGTCTCGCTGGATATGTTGGGACGGTGTCTTCCTACCGATCTTTCATTGATGTGGTTGCGAAGACGGACGTCTACGTGGGTTTCTTGCCACGAGCATCTCTTGAAAGAATCGTCGACAAATATCCAATTGTGCTGTTGACGATGGCGAAGCGATTGACCAATATTCTACCACGTCTAATTCTTCACATTGACTTCGCTTTAGAATGGCTGCAGGTTAATGCGGGGCAAGTCATCTACCATGAGGCGGAGGAGAGCGACGCAATCTACCTCGTCCTCAACGGTCGGCTTAGACTTGTGGAGGACAGAAAAGATGGCGGTGTGAATGTTCGGGGCGAGTTTGGTCAGGGAGACAGCGTTGGTGAATTAGAGGTCCTGACAGAGTCTGCTCGCTCTGGGACCCTACATGCGATCCGAGACACAGAAGTGGTCAAGTTTCCACGGACCTTGTTCAACAGTCTCGCACAAGAGCATCCAAACATCACCATCAAAATTTCCAAGATCATTGCATCCCGGATGAGGAATCTTATCGATGATCCGACCCTCGCTTTAACTGCAAAAGACGCGGGCTCCAGGACTGGAATCAATCGAAGCTCTACGACGTTGAATCTACGAACAGTCGCAATTCTTCCCGTCACGGCTGGCGTACCCGTTGTTGAATTCGGCAACAGATTAATGAACGCCCTCTCTCAGGTCGGCACTCCCAACGGAGCGACGTCCTTGAATCAGTCCGCTATTCTCAATCATCTCGGCAAGCATGCCTTCAACAAGATGGGCAAGCTTAGGCTTTCACAATATCTTGCCGACCTTGAAGAGAAATACGATCTGGTGGTTTACGTAGCGGGTAAGTCTTGCGCATGTCTTTACTCTATACCGCTCCCTGTGTTATGATGAGAACTTTCCACATTCCTAAAGCTTGCCAGCTTATGATGGCCAATGTAAACTCTAATTTTTTCCTGAACACAAGTTACTACCCGTTTATTCTTGCTCTCTCAAGACTAGAATGTTATGCTGACTAGCCAGACACGAATGTAAACTCACCCTGGACGCAAACCTGCATAACACAGGCCGACTGTATCCTTCTTGTTGGCCTTGCAGAAGGCTCTCCAGAGATTGGCGAGTATGAACGATTCATGCTGGGTATGAAATCAACCGCAAGAAAAGTCCTGGTCTTGCTTCACGCCGAGAGATATTCGATATCAGGCTTGACACGAGCTTGGCTGAAAAATCGCATGTGGATCAATGGTGGTCATTTTCATGTCCAAATGGCCTTCAGAACTCAGTCTGTTCCCATTCATCCTCCAACAAAACGTACTGGACCTAGCCTCAAAGAGCGCGTACAAATTCTGCAAGCAGAGATACAAAAATATACATCAAGGAAGGTACGCCATAGCCCCTACTATTCGCCGGATGCTCCCTTTAAGGGCGACTTTCATCGTCTCGCCCGTCGGCTATGTGGGAGATCCGTAGGTCTTGTCTTAGGTGGTGGTGGTGCCAGGGGTATTGCTCAGGTCGGTATCATCAGAGCGATGGAAGAAGCTGGCATCCCCATCGACATTATAGGCGGAACGTCGATTGGTGCATTCATTGGTGGTCTATACGCACGCCATGCCGATGTGGTCCCTATTTTCGGTCTTGCAAAGAAATTTTCAGGCCGCATGGCCAGTATGTGGAGGTTTGCGCTGGACTTGACTTATCCCTCGGCATCATACACTACGGGGCACGAGTTCAATCGAGGTATCTTCAAAACCTTTGGAAAGACGCAAATCGAAGACTTCTGGCTGGAGTATTACTGTAACACAACCAACATCAGCAAGAGCCGCGCCGAGTTTCACACAAGCGGCTACGCCTGGAGATATGTCCGGGCATCTATGTCTCTTGCCGGTCTGCTTCCGCCGTTGTGCGACGAGGGCAGCATGCTCCTAGACGGTGGCTACATCGACAATCTGACGGTGTCCCACATGAAGTCGCTCGGCGTGGACGTTATCTTTGCTGTGGATGTGGGGTCTCTCGATGACGATACTCCACAGTCGTTCGGAGACTCACTCTCTGGGATGTGGGCATTTTGGAATCGGTGGAATCCACTCTCATCAACGCCAAACCCACCAACCCTCGCAGAGATCCAAGCACGACTTGCTTATGTTTCCAGTGTCGACGCGTTGGAGCGAGCGAAGACGATGCCAGGGTGTATCTACATGAGGCCACCTATCGACGAATACGGAACGCTTGACTTTGGTAAATTTGACGAGATCACACAGGTAGGATACAAGTATGGCCAGGAGTTCTTGCAGGAGGCCCGTGAGAAGGGGTTGCTTCCATTGATCGAGGAGACAGAGGCCAAGAAGGCGTTGCGACGCACAATGGCTCCGCGTAGAGCAAGCATTTAGAGCTGCAAGACCGAGACAAAGACTAAGATACAGACAGTGCAAACTGCCTCGCATACAGACGGGTGTCAAGACGGCGTTGGGAATGTATCTAGAGGTGAGAGTGTCATAGCACACGCGGACACGATCTATGGCATTCTTTTCCTGAATACGAAGGTGTTTCTCTACCTTCCAACTTTCAGCAGGCATCAATAATGATGATCCTTTGAATTCCTCTTCAGCCTCATAAGCCCTATCACGATATATCGTTCTAAATCAAACATCCTCATCATTAGATGATCACAATGTTCGGATGTGGTCGTCTAAACGGTGGCTGATGAGCTGCAGCATAGAGTTATGCACATCTTCTTACGGTGCCTGAGTGACGCTGCTGTGTCACGCTCATCAACAAGGGCATACGGTACGTCATGACAGGGTTTTAAATAAACGCAGTGGTCGCTTAGAAATTGTGCGAGATGCGGTGTGTGTGCCTTTGCATTTCATTTGCTACCGAGTGGTCAGATGGACATGGCAAATGTTCCCGGGGCCAGGTGCCGTTTGGCTGAGACACATTCCGTCAACCGTGGGGAGGAGACTCGTTTCGTCCCGTCCCCTGGCGGTGGTGACATCATACCCAACCCCCTGCCACCCGGGACCCTGAGATGCACTCAACTCCGCCAATTGGATGCGATGATGGCATTCACCATAGGCCACGCATTCCTCGATCTTTACACCTGGCGTGCAGGGTTGCTGCACACCACCTTTCTCTTTAAAATCGTCCTCCTCGCTGCTCAGTGCACTACTCCTGCCCACCTTCAGTGGCAACATCAATCTCCCCTGTATACATTGACAGATCCTTCACACATTGTTACCCGCTCTAGCTATTTACCATATTCGGAGACCAGAGTTCGACACGAACCACCGGTTTGTCGTCTAGAGCATCAATATCAGAATACTGCCTCAACCCGAATCTACACTCCTTACCCACATCAAACTCAATATGGGCCGACGATTTGCTCCTCCTGATCCACGTCCCTCGAAAGCGGATCCGCACCACAGAGCGAAACGTAAGGAGCTCGAGAAGGATCACTTCGAATGGGTTCCTGGCGTCATCCTTGGTCTCATGGGCGTCACTCTCATGATGAACGTTGAGAAACAAGTTGAGAAGTACGAGCAACGACACAAGGAAAAGGAGTCAAAGGAAGAGGAACAGCGACGGCGCAAGAGGGAGAAAGAGATCCGCTATGGCGGATCGGACCGCGGCACTAGCTACGATCGAGGCTACGACCGCGCCTACGATAGGGATAGAGGCTCCAGCCGGGACGACCGATACTATTACGAGCCGGACAGGAAAGATGAGCGTCGCAATAGGAGATACTCGACCTCCTATTAGTCTCATCGACGCACCTCTTTGTCTACTTCCCCGTTCGAATTAGCATTAAAAACCATAAAACCCCATAGCTAAGCTGGACTTTAGCTGTGGCATGATAACGACTGCATGGCAAGGACACGACATTGGCAGGCATTGTACGATTTATACCCAGGGCATTCAATAGACAAGATGTGGTGTTTTATAAATTGCCAGGTTGCTAGTATTTGGTTTATTAGCATGGGAAACGTTAGGAGGAGCGAAAGGGATTCATTCAGCGATATTGTAACTATGTAGCATCTACCTATCCTCGATATGTACTCAAGAAATCACATACTTGTCCAAATCTTATCAAACTATACGCTGTACATCCACTCATTTGCTCTTCAAGATCATCTCGGCAGTCTCCACGATAACTTGAAAGCCCTTTCTGACGTGCTCTTCCTCCGTTAACTGGTTCGCTGTCATCACACGGATCGCGAACTGACCATCGAGCATCGTACCCGTAATCTACAACATCTGGGGTCAGTAGTTGCCTCTTGAAGAAAATGTCCAAGTAGATATATTTCAGGAGTAAGTGTCCAATCTTGGATTGCGCCCTTGTCCCCAATGTTCAAAACATTTCCAGGATAGATAAAAAGGAACTCCGAAAGCTGCTTACCCAAATCTTCCCACTGGCATTAACAGTCTCGCACAACTCCTTCGTGCACGCATTCTTCTCCTCCGTATCTGCCCCTGCCGAGCGTCCCACCATCCGGAACACTGTGAGCGCAAATCTCGGGCCCGTCAAAATTTCAAACAGGTCAGGCCGGGACCCAAGCAGCTCCGCAAACAGCTCCCCATTCTTGGTCGTGCGCCGAATATACGCCTGCAAGCCCTTCACGCCGTAGCTGCGCAGCACGAACCAGATCTTGAGGCTGCGGAACCGGCGACCCAGCGGGATCTGCCAGTTGCGGTAGTCCGTGACCAGCCCGCCGTCGCTGTACGTGTTGCGCAGGATGTGCAGGTCTGCGGACAGCGCCTCGACGAGCCACATCCGGTCGCGCACGAAGAGTGTCGAGGCGTCGAAGTTGGTGAGCAGCCACTTGTGCATGTTCATGTCGAACGAGTGGAAAGATGCCAGGTGCGAGATGCCGACAGCCTCTTGGGCCTCCGGGGTGACAAGGGCTGCGCCGGCGTAGGCAGCGTCTACATGCACCCAAATCTCGCCCGGCTTGCCTAGGGGGTGGCTTGTGAGAGAATCGTCTGATAGGGTGGTGATGATCCCACCGAAGTCGTCTACGGCGCACGTGTCTGTCGTGCCTAATGTCGTCGTCAGGTAGAACGGCTCGAGCCCTTTTGTTCGACAGGTCTCCAGAACGGCAGCGAGCCCAGCGCCCGTCATGGCGTACTTGTCCTCAGCTCGCACCGGAACGGGCATGAAGCGCACACCGAGGATCTTTGCAGCCTTTTTGGTGGCGCTATGAGCCGCCGCACTACCGAGCGCAACCAGCTTACCCCTTTTCCGGATCGTTGCCTCCTCAAGGTCCTCCTCCGAGAGATCGGTGGGCAGCGTCTCGCGCAGATACTTGTCTCTGGCTGCCACCATGACTGTGAGGGTAGCCTCGGACGCGGTCCCCTGGATTACGCCTCCCCCGAGCGTCGGACCTGTTGATAGATAGCATTCTGGCAGCCCAAGAATGCGGGCTAGCCAGTCAAGAACAATGGTCTCAAGCTCCGTCACAGCAGGACTGCATATCCAATTAAAAGATGCACCTCCAAAAGCGGCTGAGTACATCTCTCCCAAGATGCTGGGGAAAGAGGTCGGGCATGGGAAGAAGGCGAAGAAGTTTGGTGACTGCCTATAGACTCAATCAGCCCCCGTTTACCTGTGGCAACTCTGTCATATAAGTTCAGAAAAGGGGTTTCTAGGTAGCAGACCAATGCGTTATGCCAGGAACGATTTTTGTCTCGATATCCTTTTGGATGTCAAGCCAGGGCTCGCCATCTTCAGGTGCCTCAGTAGGCAGTAACTTCCTCAGATACCCCGGCTCTACTTGCGAGGCAACACTGTAGTCGGTAATATTCTCAAAGTAGTTCACTACTGTAGGCAACTGTTAGTTTCTCTTCCTGTATCTGGCGGCGAAACTGTCAAGGACAATATGGGGGCGGGAACTCGGCCTACTCTGTTCAATAGTGGCTTTGCCGGCTTCCTTGAACTGATCCGCGTTCATGTTTGGCAGGATTGTATGGTATAATGGGTAAGCAACGCCAGTGAAGTGAGTAGTCAACGTGTGACAGTAATAAACGTAGAATAACGAATTGTCACAATGCTCAGGTTGCCCCCTTGCCACAATAGATGAGTAACTGTTCCAAGAGAACAAGGAATGATCTGGCTCGAAATCCGTAAAATGCAGTTGAGTGTTTGCGCTAAAATTAAATTTTTGAGGAAATCTGGGATAAATTTGGTATGCAATGATGAGTTCAGGTAATACCGGTACCTCAGATCTTCCTTGATGTCAAACGTATCATGCGAACTACTATGGATCTAGCATGCAAGGTCTACAAGTCGTGATGCGCATTTGTGGGGACTGCGAGGGCCGAACTGCAAGAGACCCGGCTTCGGAGTTGTTAGATGCCATTGTCCAATAGATAGCGACCGTAGATAGAGCATGAGTTACCAGGTCCAATTCAGTGCCGTCGGAACCAACAAATAGATAATTCTTGGAAGCCTACTCGTCGAAATCTATCAGTATATAGAATTTGTTCATCCTATTTCGACCTCTTGTGCTGCCGTATTCTTACAGCCCTGATCAGACTGCAGAAGGCGCGAGGGGCATTATCGGCACTATACTGCGCTTATCTCGTGACGTCTGCTCTACAGCCTTTCGATATTTATAATTCTAGACCGGATCCAGGACGTAGGTCCCGGCTTGTTGCAGCTCTGATTGACCGAGATGACCTTGTCGACACTTCTGGCAGGATCTCGATCTCTCATTATGTTCGTCATATGAGTCGAAGAAGTGTTTTTACCACGGATGACGCCGATGCTGAACATCGTAGAGTTGATGTTCGCGCGCCCGGTCTCACCCCGGTATTTCTGCATCAGCATTGCGCAAAAATCCTCAACCTGTGGCCAAGTGTTGACTCTAGAGTATTGATTACGATAAAAACGACAAAAGTCCAATCGAGAATCTCATTTCATTGGATTGGTATCCTTCAGTTAATCCAATGGAAAGACAATATTTTCTTGTTTTTATGGACGTCAGCATTGGGGTTTTTGGCTGATCATACTTTACTCTTCAGCTCTTGGTTAAAACATTTGGGAGTGGTCCTACCATGGTCACAACAATCGGACCATGCTTTTGCTCTAGGTTTCACTGCCCTGGATGAAGAAGAGAGCGACAGCCATTATCGCCTTCGAAAGCATCATGTCCCAGACAAACAGGATTCGGCCGAATTAGTACAAGTCATCAAATCCATATAAAAAGAGTTGACAGAGGCTTTTCTTTGTTTGGGCTCCGCGATCATTTGCAAGATATGCTCGGGCGGGCATCGGAGTCAAGTATTGGAAGACTTGAGGATGACTTGATCGAAACGGGGATGTTGTGTAGGTTGGAAGACGAAGACGGCCACCTGAGCCATATGAATCATAGTGATGGATTATCCTTGTGTGCTATAATTTGATCTTATATACTTTGGTATACTTCTCCCACGGTCATTACTGCATTGACTGCTCGAGATATCACGGTGATCCGCGTTGACTACTTGTTATTACATAGCGGACTAAATAGCGGGGCGGCTGTCACGGTGGCAGCGTGTTCCCACGGATAACAACGTAGTAAACACCCGAATATCATATGCCACCTGAAAAGAGAATTACAGGCTGTGGATAGAAATGGGCAAGACAGAGTATCATGCAAATCTTAACTTATTACGACTATATATTTATGTAGATTTCCAAGTTTATACAGGAGTAGGTGACCTAGGTCCATCGCCGAAAAGCCCATCTGAAGTGACTGGAATAGAGTCAACCTCTTCTCCTCAGGATGTTGTGCTCCCAACGCCGGTCCAGTTTATCGAGAGCCTGAATGATGCGCCAGAAGTGATGCAATAGAATAATGCTGCTGAGGCATGTTGCAGCCTGTTTCGTTACCACGTTTCGGACCTTTAGTCCGCCTTGATAGCTCTGCGATGCGGTTAGTCGTGATGGTAGTTTGGGGGAGGCTAATCATATTGACTTACCCGTATATCCTCCTGACAAAAGCATAGGCGCTCAAGAAGCCCACCGTGCCCGTGAGCAAGCCATACACGAGGCAAGCCAGGAAGCTGTAGCAGAAGAACAGCATGCTGCTGACAAAGCCCGTGATGTGCAGCTTGACGAAGTAGTACCACACGCAGTACAGGAAGACCCAGACGGAGCTTCCACCACCGACCAGGAAGGACTGCCACCACCAGCGGTAGTTCTCGGAGCAGAGCTGAATGTAGATCGTGACGATCGTTACTTCGGCGACAGTGATGATAAGGATAGCCGACACAACTCCCAGGAAGCCGAAGACGTAATAGTAGCCGCTCTTGTCCTGCCACATAGACTGAAAGACGAAGAGGAGCTCAATGAAGATGACCGCGAATGGGATGAGACCGGCAATGAGAATCGACCGGGTTCCCTTGATGTACCACGCCTGCTGGGGGATCTGTCGGGGGATCGCAGTTGTCTTGGTCGGGTGCTCCCATGCACCAACCCGGATGTAACCGTACCACGAGCCCACATACACGAGGGGAACCTGGATGCAAAGCCACAAGAATAGAATAGCAACCAGTGTTCCGAAGGGGATGGCCGTGCTGGAGGCCTGGGCCCAGACAAAGAGGTTTAGGAGGAAGACCAAACCGAATGTCAAGCCGGGGAACAGTAAGGCGGTCTCGATCGCGTTGCGTCTCCAGTTCTGGCCATCAAAGGTCTTGTAGACTCTCGCCGAGTAGTAGCCGGAGAATAGGCCTGCAAAGACGAAGAGACCTACGCCAAAGCTAATGAAACCGCCTCTGTAGCTGGGGTTTAGAATGCCAATAGCACTCAGAGCCACGAGACCGACAGCCATGAATAAGAGCTGCATACCAGAGCCGACCAGAGGTGCCAATACGCGGCCGAATCTGGGGGCACGGAAGACATCGGCATGTAGCAGTTTCCAACCCGTGATATCCTCCAAAGCCTCATCATCGGAAGAAGCATCAGCTTCGTCAGCATCAACTGGCTGTTCGAGCAGTCCCGGCGCCTTCTCAGATAATTTGGGTGTTCTTGAGCCGCTCTTGACCTTTCGCTTGAAGCTGAGCTTACCGTCCTCTGCATGACTGTTCTTGCCTCCCTTGATATCCGTTCGGATGGTCTTTGCCAAGATCATCATGACAATACCCGTGAGAAGTCCGCAGATGATGAGAGAGTTGATAATGGCGAGCCAATGTATCTTGGAACCCTCCTCCTGGTTGACGAAGTACAAGTCCCAGCGCCGGTTCCACTCGATCGTCTTGTCCTCGCGGAAATAGACAGAGTAGGTGTAGGGAATGGTCATGGTGGCATCATCATTGGTCTCTTCCTCCTGTTCCGGTCGGTAGGAAGAATGCGCATACTGGACATCTAGGTCCTGATCAGACTCAGTCCTGTTGGGCCTCATGAAGAGCTCAAAGCTCTCCTCAACACCATGCAAGTCTACAGGACAGCCGCCCTCGTCCCTTTTGATGTTGGGACCGACGCTCTTGGTGTACATCTCAAAGCCAACAACGACTTTGCCGCCCTTCTCTCCGGCCTTTCCGGGAGCGCTTCGGTAGCGGATAACGATCGTGTGGTGGTTGTTCAAGTAGTACCGGGGCTTGCCAGAGGACTGGTCCGTGAAGCCTAGTTTGAAGCCGGCAGCGTAATACTTACGCGACTTGTCCACGGTGACGAAGCTGGTAGCGCCGGGGAGGTTATCCACGATCCATTCAACCACGTAGCCATCCGAGACCAGCTCCCGCGCACGTTTCAAGTCCTTTCTGCTGATCTCCTTGTTGCAGAGGAAGTTGCACTCCTTGTCCTGCAGCATGGAGAGCTCAATGTCGGATACGATGATCCGGTCGCCTCGGAGAACCTCTCCTAGGTTGAGGGGGATGCTCTGGCCGCTGAGGAGACCGGAGCCGGCACTATGGTGGCCGCTGGGGGGACAGACGAAGGGCAAGTCATAGTAGGCATATTGTAATTGGGTGTTGTCTGAGTATACCTTGTTGACCAGCAAAGGGATCTGCTCGTGTTCTTTGTAGCTCTTGATGGACCAGCCTGTAGTCATGGCAAGATTAGATAAGGTCCGAATGATCCGGACAGCGACGGAGGGAACATACCAGGGATGTAGAATGCCTGGATCTGGCAGACGAGAAGGGCCCAGAGGAAGAAGCGAGCAAAGCCGGTCCTTATCGCCGCGTCCATGGTGACAGCTCTCCCGTTCCGTCAGCAAGATCGTTCTATCGGGATCATGAACAAGGGCGCGTTGGAGGGAATCGACAAAGGCCGCTCGGCGAGATGGAGTCCTGGTCTTTGGTAGCGGCCAAGCCTATGTGGTTGTAGACGGTAAGGCTAGGTGTCGTGTGCCGATTGAGACTGCAACGAGGCAGGATGTTGGATGACAGATCGATGGTAAGATCAGATCGGATCGAATCGAAGGGGGTGCGGGAGGTGTATGTACGGCGGTTTTGCGGGTACGACACTTGCAAACTGTATGTACTGTACTGTACTGTAGCTGTCGCTGTCGCTGTAGTTGTCACAGTAGCAGTGCAAGAAGGCACAAACGAGTGGAATCGGCACAAAGTACCAGGTCAGACAGTGTCAAGCAGAAGACGGCAGTGTGGTGGAGCTGAGCTCAGCCGGCGTGCTGGTGCAGCTGGATCTGGTCGAGTCTGTTGAGCAATTGAGGCGCAAGATGCAGAGGGAAGAAGATTGGATGTGTGCGTGCGTGGTGTGAGATGGGTATGGTATGGGATTGGATTTGGGGGGGGGGAATTAGAGGAACGGGAGAGGGTGCCCCAGTCCCCTATTTTCCCCTACTGGTACTCTTCCCACCCTTCTGCTAGTAAAACCTGTCAGGCTAAGCCCACGTTAGGGGGGAGGCTGCTAATGCTGGCCCTGGCGGCTCAGTGGCAGGCCACTAGCAGGCTCCACGCATGTTCCCACTACCTTTCACATTCTCGCTCTCTGATTGCCTGATTTGCTACGAATGAGATCACGTGGAGGGCGCTGCCACGCCTAATTTTAGCTGAAGATTCTACGCAGTACATACTATGCGGTACTAGGTATGCAGTAGGTGCCATGCCACTGATTAAGGTGCAGGTGCTGGTACGTACAGTAGGCCCAGGGACACACACTACGCTACCCCCGATTGATTACCCGTCTTTTTACAACGGCGTTGCTTTTCCCCAATTCCCCGTGCTCTACTGTAATTAGTAGGTAGGGGCCCTTATTAGAGAATACGACCATCTTATCAAAGGATCACTCTACATGTAATTGACAGACCTCATATCATATCGTGTCGAATGTGAATATAAGTATATTTAATACATGTCTGATCTCTCGCTGCACAGCTCTGGTGCCCTTCACAATGTTTTACCTACCTATGCAATGGATCAGATCATCAGCACACACACACATTCTCTCTCTCTCTCGGCAGCTCCATCCCTCGCATTCCTGTTTCTTCCAAGGGATTCGGCGGGGGCCTCTCTCCACACAGCCAGACACCCTCGACTCCCCTCCGAGCGCGGGCACCCTTTATGCACTCCGCGCAGGATCGCAGGGCCAAGGGCCGCTCTGTAACATGTGAATGGCTGGGGCTGGTATGCTCGTATTCCTCCTTCTCTTCTTCAACGTCGATCCCTCGACGCGTCTCCGAGAAAGCTCTTTCACACACGAAAAAAAGTGTGCTGTGCTGTGCTGTGCTACGCGAGCTCTCGTATTGTATTGTACGGTGCCAAGGTGTCGTTATCCTTTGCAGATTTCCTCTCGGGACCCCTAATTTCTACTAAGCTTTTAAGCCGCACGACCATGTCGTGCATCGGTGCATCGTAGCCAAGCGTCATCCTCGCTCGCACACAGCTCTTGTCCTCCTATGATCCTCACGAAGGTGGTGACACGGATACGGATGGCCTATCCCGACAGGCGGACAGTCACGCAAGTCTCCCGTTCTTCTGCAAGGAGACTTGAGATACGCGGCAAGACTGATCAAAGAGATGACATGGCCTACTGATTTGTCCAGAGGAATCCGCCTCAATCCAGGTAACCGCACGATAGTGCAGACTACATCCTCAGTCCGGTAAAGCCATCTTGACTGTCCAATGGGAATGAGTCTCGAGTTCCCAGAGTCTTCAGCCCATTTGGGCCATAGCTTCCGAAACACTTCGTAGGTTTGCTCTGTGTAGTTGCACGCACATATCACCATTTTTCGAAGCAACAACAAAAGGTATTATCAACGTACAGCATTACTCATATTGGGTATTATGTAAGTTACCAATTAGGCCTGTTTTCCAGCCCCCTTTATGATGAAGTGCAAATCCACATTGTAGCCTTTCCACAAAAGCACCACCAAGAACGCCTCGCTTTTGTATCCAATGTCCAATCTGTCTGTCCATTGACCCCAAGCCCCATTACCACTCAGAAACATAGGAAAGCTGGTGCGTGTCAATCTCGGCCCAGCAGACATCAACCAGCAGACCAGTTGTAAATTAAACAAACAAACCAACAAACAACAATAACAACAACCGCATGTTCGCTTTACTCATATCGTAACACACAGCAAAGAAAACAACAAGAGGATCGATTTTCATGGCCATGAGCCCATCTATCCGTGGACCGCATAGCCCGGCAGCGCGCTGGGGTCCCTGCTGAACTGCACGTCCGGCACGGACAGCAGGCGCGGGCGCAGGAACTCGTCGACCTCGGCCTCCTGGACGGCGGCCTCGAAGCTGGGCAGGCCGGCCGGGTTCTCCTGCTGCAGCCGCAAGTGGGCGGGCGAGCCGGCGGTGTCGACGCCGATCTGCAGCGGCAGCGTCAGCGAGAGGGTGGTGCTGCTGCTGCTGGCCGTCGAGCCCGCGGACGGCGACAGCGTCAGCGACAGCGTCAGCGTGTACACGCGCGACACGATGCACGAGTGGAAGGTCGGCAGCAGCGTGCGCTTCGCGGCGGGCAGGTGGATGGGCACGTGCAGCGTCGCGGCGTGGAAGACGGGCGATGCCGAGGCCGAGGGCGCGGACGCGGACGCGGACGCGGAGCTCTTGCGCGCCTGCTTCGTGTGCAGCTGCTTGCTCCCGCGTCGGCTCCGTTCCGGGGCCGAGTGCTCGGAGTCGGTGCGCGCGTCGGATTCGGTGGCGTAGCCCGAGTCTCGGCGCTCCTGGATCACCTGTGTCGCCCATGTGATGTTGTCCAGAGGGCTCGAGAAGACCGGGACGGAGGTAGAGTATGAGCCGCGCCGCTCGATAGAAAAGCCGCTATTGAAGTCGGACAGGTTAGGGAACGAGCTGATCGGGCCGGCGCTGTAGTAGGTGTGTGCTGTGATCTTGCCAGACATGCTGGTGATTTTCGGAGGAGCAACATCTGGGGAGGATGGCTCGAACTTCAGCTCGACCTGTGCCGCCGTGTTCGATGCCACCTTGCCGTCCGGTCCGATGAAGGCAGCCCCCGGCTGCGGTGCTGAAGCCGTCAGTCGCCCCAATTTTCCAGAGATGATGTTTTTCCTCAGGCTCTTCGTCTTGGTCATCCGGTAGAGTTTATCATTCTTGGTGATGTTCAGAGGTGGCTCCTCAGCATAGGCAGGGAGGACCTTGATAGGCTCGGTCGCTTCCATGATCTTGAGGGGTCGTCCATTCATTTCCGGGTCTTTGTAGATCCTGGCCTTCACCGAGTACTCAATGGTGGCCATCTGCGGAGCCAGGTCGTCCTTCTCCCAGAGTCCTTGAACGAATCCCATCGTCGGTGGCAAACTCAAGTGGCTTTGGTGAACGGCATCCGAATCCACGCGGTGGCCGCAGGCGTTCAGTGTCAGGTGGTTGGGCAAGATGAAGTTGAAAGGGATGGAATATTCTCTTCCCGCCTCTAGTACTCGAGGGACTGGATAGCTGGATTCTGGAATAGGCATCGGGATCTTCAGGAGAGTGTGGGAGGATTCATGAGGTGAGCTAACACCATCAACACGTGTGCGAGCGACTCCAAGAAGAATGATCTCTACGCTGTCGAAGCGGACATCCCTCTGAGTCGTAATCGTAACGTTTCCAGATATCGGCGAAGAAGATGTGTAGATTTTAGATTTGAAATGGTTGTCTAGATGAATGTTCATGTTCGACTTCGGGTGTGCCATCTTTCGAGCATAGCCCGAGAAAGAGCTGGCATCGCTCGCACTGGTGGATGCGGACGACATCCTGTTGCCAAGTTGTCTGTAGATGAGGACACTATCTGCAGTGTGCATAACCTTGTGTCACTGAGGACAAGGCAAGAGGGGAAAACGGCGTTGTGAGACAATGATATATGGTAACAAGGCGATGAAGGTGATGAGTGAGGTTAACTAATGTAACTAATCGATGAGCGTTATAAGTGATGATTAATTGATCGAGGACCGTTAACTGATGGAGCCCCGATAACTTCTGGAAGCCTTCTTTAGATGTTCTGGAAACTGATAACTATAACAGCCTCAGGTTGAGATGGGGACCACCCGGCTTATATAGAGTGCCAACCTTCGATACAGACGACAGGACTCAATTGGGAAACAAACAAATGGAACCAGGATGGGGATGGGAGAGAAAATCTGAGTCATTCCCGACTTAGGAGAGAAACTAGTAGGTTTGTATGATGAGAAAAGGAACTGAATTCCTGACGGCGGGGAAGATCAATGCTAGACGACGCCTTGTACTTGCGTACCGGTACTATGGACGCTACAATAGACTTACCGCACACCATCCACATCCACATCCACATCCACATCCATGGCATCCATCCATCCACCCGTCAGTGCGCATGTCCGCGGGCTGGGCTGGAAAGGCTGGCTGGGCTTGGGTGTACTTACCTTTAGGTGATTGGCGCCGGTGGCCATGTCGATGGAAGGGAGCACATGTGGATCAGACGCTCGCCCAGTCATAAAAAAGGTGACTATGGCTTTCTTGGGTGATACAACAAAGTTCAGTTGGCGGCCAAGAGCAGCGCGGCATCATGATTCGACGCCATGGCGCAATACCCAGCGCTGTTCCAAGCCTTGGAAGCTTCGTGTCGGTGATGATCCGACTGTCCTCATGACAAAGACGCCCAGAGCTCGCTTTGAAACTCTCGACTTGACTTGACTTGACTTGGCTTGGCTCGCCTTGCTGACTTGGAGGGAGGAGGACCCTGATGATTGCTAAACATGTACGCCCTTTGTTAGCCCATTTGCTGGCTGGCTGCTCATTACCGTAAATTATTAGTTCGGCTTCGGTGCTCGGTCAGTGGGGAGGCGGGCGGCGCATGGCACGGGAGCAATGGTGAGTGAGAGCACATGGGTATGGGTATGGGTATGGGTATCGGGACAGAATGAATCAACGACACATTACTACCTACTATGCAGTAGATACTATGCCACTTCCCGATCGCCAAGCTGGTGCCGAACGTCAAACGCACGGCTCATCAGCTGCCCATCTCTAGCGCTCAATGGGAGCCCATCAAGGCGCACGCGCATATGCGGACAGGGTGGATTTTGGGCCTGGGTCCCCCCCCCTCCACCAAGAGTCATGCCCAGGGCCTGGAGTTCCTGACGCCGCCAAAGGCATCCAATTCCGAGAGCGGGCAGTGGATTGGATGCACTCCGCCCATTGAAACAAAACCTTGCCTGCCCTTTACTTGAACTTGTAGACAGTTGGGCGTGGCCTACCTGGCAAGACCTGGCCTGTAACTGACAGGGCTTATTTTCTTGCTGGTAGAGCCTCTCGTACTCCTTCGTACAAGTAATGAGCCTCCCCCCCTAGCAAGTCGTCACAGTGGTAAGCAAGCAGGCAAGGCTCTCGAATTATTAATGCAGTGCAGTGCAGCCCGGTCATCCCCGGTCTTCTCCATATTACTGCGCAGTAGGTTTCAAAAATCAAGCAATGTTCGTGACGATGACTAACAATGAATGCTGTCTAAGCAGGATTGTGCCATATGCGCGATCATCCTTGGATTTCATCATGTAATCGCATCTCGCTGCTGAAGCGACGTGTTCAAGCTTTTTTTGCCCGTCCAGACCTCCAAAGGAAGGTGTCTCGCTTGCTAGCTCCGGTGACGGGGCCGGAAGCCTGGAAGGGTGCAGCACGTAGAAAACAAAAAAAAACATTTTCTGTACGGTATGACATCAAAAGGCAAGTAAAGTGTTTGCCATCGACGAGTTTAACTTTTGCAGGCAAAACTCGCCAACAAGGGACTCGAATCGGGCAACGGAATGTCCCATCAATCAGACTATTCCTTGCATTTCATTCATTATAATGGATTAATTATAAATTTTACTAGTTTATCCAATCATTGATTCTCGTAGACATGCACATGGCTCCGTGGAACCACGAAAGCACCCACATGGAGGCAGGAGGTTGCGAAGAGTGAAGAGTCTGGCCGCAGGCCCTTTTGCTTGCTTTGTTTGCTGATGTTTGTCAAGATTGAATGTTCTTTCTCATGACAACCTGGTCCGCTGACGGGAGCACCACCAAAGCCTGTCATTGCGCCATCAGGGACACTGCAAACAACGCCCCATACAGAGTATTTTGATGCGTAATTGATTTCCTTTAAGTGATACGGCTTACCTTATGCCTTTCCACCATCAGGCACAACAAGACAGGAAAAAACAAGGGTCAGGTCGGTCGAGGTACCGATACAAAGCGTCCGTCAACTAAGAGAGTAATCCTAGACCACCTGGTTTCTCCATAATAATAAGCCGGATATCACGAAGGAGCCTCCGCTAGCAGTAGAGCAAATTCGCACTGCCGACGTTTAGATTCCAGCGCAGCGCAGTGTGTTCTAGTTCTGACGCGCAAATGAGCGAGCTATCAATCGGCTTTGAAGCATCAAAGCCGTAGCATCAAAGCCGTAGCCAACCACTAGAGACATAGCGGCCGCCGATATCGCCATAGCCGGCACTGATGACTACAAAATGGGAAAAATTTTAGCTGCGGGTAGCGAGCAAGGCGAGGCGGAGAAAACTGCGGGCGTGGTGGGTGTGCCAGACCAGTACGAGAGTCCCGTACCTAGACTGTCAGTTTGCATGTTCCCAGGGATCTGGGATCTGGGAACCGCTCGCTCCCCATGCTATTGAATCTCGCTGTTGAATGCCCTTGGTGGTGGTGGTGGTGTTGCTAGGCGAGTTAGGCTAGAGAAAGCGCCTCGTGGTGCCGTTCTTGGCGAATCTATTGTCATCTGGCGCAACCAGTCGATCTGTCTACCTTGGTATCTATTGATGATGCTCCCACAGCCACGCCTGCTGCCCTGCGATCTTATTTTTGGTGAGAAGAGCAGTATAAGCCGCCTAAGACGTCATGTCGGCCAGAAGGCGTGCGGTCCATGTTTCCCAGAACGGTGAGGTACAGTACAGCAAAGTGCCGTGCAAATTCAACGCCTCTAAGGGCCAAGACATGTTGCTCCCAGGGGAAAAGCATCAAAATACAAAGCTTACATGGCAAACAGCTTGCAGCTTGCACCTTACAGGATGCAGATACTGCATAGTACATACGGGCATGCAAGGGTGGGCCACGCGGATCGCACTCTTCGTGGTGACACACTCCCACAAGCGCAATGTCAATTAAGCGTGCGCCTTTCCAAGGACACCTCCATTACTGTGCTACTGTGGGTTTATAAGCAGGCTGGATCGAGGGTCCAGAGCCCGGCTGACGAAGCCATTCCGCCCATTGCGCTTGCGCGTTGGCTGCTGTCCTAAAGGGCGGAAAGCATGCAGTTAACAGAAGCCGTTCCCGCTAGCTTGGGCTCGCCAAGTTCTCAAGCCTCCTGCAGTCGGAGGAGTCACCGCCTGCCACCAGCCGGACAGCAGGCCCTGGGGAACGTGGACGCCCTGCTGGGACCATGAAACGCTGCTGGGCGAGGGCACGCAAGAAGGCCTTGTCAATGGGACAATGGAGGTGCATTTAGCATTACCTAAGTGCTCCATTCACTGCTCCAACGCTGTCTCATTACTTGGCTACGGCTCCATCTTCCGCCGTATTATGTGTACGCCAATGCTGTGCGCCAGCCTTGCCTCTAAAGGTATGCATTGGCGAGTAAGCCTTTCTATCGTCTATTTCATGCTTAGCCTGATATTCGTCCCACAACAACCTCGGAGTCATTCTGTTTATCGTGTCCGTTCATGTTGTAAACATGGCGGAAATCTCCGCCCAATCTTTTACCGTCGATGACTCGATGCTTCGCTTCGGGGGAGACAGTATTGTTGTTTCTCTGCCTCCTTGTTTAGTCATGCCAAGAGATGTAGAGCATGATGCCAGCTCCGGCTGCTATGGCGGCAAACTGGGTCAAGGTCTTCTGGACCTCCGCCAACTTGTTGGGTCCAGTCTCGAGAAGCTCAGGGATGACAGCGACAGTTCCGACATACAGGAATGTGCCAGCAGTGAAAGGTAGGAGCATGTCTCCCCAGGTCAAGCTGGTGCCCCAAAGCCCGGCGTTCATGGGCATGGATCCCTCGATGGCACCGCTACCACCAAACTCTTGGATAGCGATGCCAATGAGTGTGCCAAGGAGGGCGCCAATGGCCGTAACAAATTGGGCACCCATCGCAGCTCGCTTCGAGAATCCGGCTTTTACCAGCAGAGCAAAGTCGCCGACCTCACTACAGCACTTGGGGTCAGCATTCGTCCCGGGATCGTTAAGCAATGTAGACCAAATCGTATTGGTCAAGAGATGGGACTGCAGACCACTACGCCGCAATGCCTACTCTGCAATACAGGACCGCTTGATGACCGCGGCTTGCTCAAGTCACTTGACAGTATTGATCGTAGTTGTGCCAACTTGGCCACTAGCCATTTCTTCGCCGCAGCTTTAGTCTTTCAGTATCGTTTATTCCTTCAGGAAGCACATCCAAGGCGTTGTCTTAGGTATGTCAAAACAAAAGTAAAGCCAGACTCCGGTACAGGCCCTGGCAGTACGAAACACTGAGCATGAAACCATTGTTTACAACGACTTACTGCGGAATCTCGTGTATCATGACGGCAACTGCCGTTGTAGCCCCTATAGTCGGCGACGCATAGAAGCTTGCGACCATGGCCAGACCATCGGTGACGTTGTGAGTCGCGTCAGCGCTTGAGTTAATTGTCAGACTGGTGATTATTTAAGAATATAGCGCAGGAAGCGGCACTCACATCATGTTGAGGTATCCACTCAATTTTACGCTGGGGTTTATCTCCTTCTCGTGGGCAACTTCCGTCTGGCCCTTGTTTGACGAGCCATTGCCCTTCTTTCGAGACTTAGCGCCCTTCTTGTCAGAGGCTTCGACAGATGTTGAAGCCGCACTGGTCTCATTGTGTGAGTGAGAATGGCCATGTGAATGCTCGTGACCTTCGCCTCCCGTTGCAATCCGCAATGCCTTATCTAACGCCACAAATGTCATGAAGCCAACAAGGATGGCAGCACCAAGTAGTAGGTTCCTGTTAGGCTCGACCAGAACGAACTTTGCACGCGTAGGATCATCTTCCCCCACGTAGATCTCGCTAAACAGATGGAAGATTGTATCACCCAGCAGGCCGCCCACCGCAAAAGCAACCATTATGGACAGGAGGGCGGGACTCGGGTTTGGCGGCCATAGCGCGAGCAGGAAGTTGGGAGGACCGGAGATGTACAACGTCGCCAATAGGGAGTTCACGGCTGGGCTGCCAGGGAAGATGATCGCGAATATGCGCTCGATGGCGGACTCGCCTGGAGCGTGGGCTTTCTTGTGAGCGCTGAGCTCTTGGACAATTGCACATTCCTGTCTCCAGTCAGCCTGCGACTAAGTATCCGAGGCAGTGAAGTCGAATGAACCTGCAGCTTCTCCCCAACATCCTCAAGGCTAAGTGAAGAAACCGCGCCCTTTTTGAGAGCCTTCTCAGCCACCGCGAGAGCTACGCCGAGGCAGAGGATAAGGGTGAAGCACCCTTTGAGCCGTGGAGAAGGCATATTGTCGTCGGTCGGCACGACACGCGGAGTCAATTGGCAGAAAGGATAGAATTGACTCTCCCCTAAGCTGGGTGAAAGAGGGGAACGTGTCGAAATTGGGTAGCACACGACAGGTGGCAGAGAGGACAGCTCAGGAGCGCGGTTTCCCAGAAGTGCGGGTTGTGGACCTCAACTTCTGCCCTTGCGCTAAGCTCGTGTAAGGCTGAGGGGCTAAAGCCAGGGGTAAGCTGAGCTCTAACTTAAATTCTCAGCCTCCCGCGATCCGGTACCAAACATAAACACTCGTAATTCCGCTCTTCAACCGCCTAACCCGAGAACCGTTGGCCTGGGATTATCTCCCCCATGGCAACATCATCGGACACAAATATATCAAAAGCTAACCCGCTGACATTAAAATGGCAGACCCGATACAAGCCGGAGTCTATGTTAGGTATCAAAGTGCAACTAATTGTCTTAAAAGAGAGAGTGGTCCTTGTCAGCTTATTAGCGATCTTACCTCTGATATGACAATCTTCATTGATCAGCAGGCATCACAGTGCGTAACTCTGTATAGCCATATAGCAATCCGGGGAACTTCTTCCGAATCAAGATCATCTCGTGTCCATGCTGCATCCGGTGCTAATATTACCTGCACTAGTTGCTATCTGTGCCTTTGTGGCGGCTCTATCTTTCGACTTGAGGCGCTCCGCGAGTGAAATGCCAACAAAGGTAAGGAAGGCAACATCTATGGTATGAGGCTTGTGATGCAGGCTTGAGCCAGCCGAAGTTTGTATATGTCGTTCTTTGTGCTCTGATATGTAGATTGGCTCTTGGGTAAACTCGCCATACGTGAGTTGTAATTGCACAGTGATTCCAGCTTTCTGAAGAGCTCCGAAACAGGGTCACGCCACAAGGATTACGTACTTTGATCGAACATCTATTCGTGGAATAAGAATTGGAAAATAATCGCCTTATAACTCTTGAGGTTGACAACCACTCTCAGTGTCTTTGCATTGAGGAACAAGGTTGACGAGTGTCCTGGTGAGGGGTGTTAGCGTAGCCTGAACCGGATTGGTGAGGGACTCGGCTGTCACGCCCCATCCAAACACACCCACCGTAACATCCGAAACAATCGCCACCTAACAACACTTCAGCAACTATTCAGTATCGCTATACGGAAGCACCGACTCTCGGCCCAGTCAATGAAGTCTCAGGTATCATAACCTCGTCTTACATCTTATGGGGCTGGACCCGGTATAGTCAGCGCTGCTGGCATAGACGCCAAAACACACGTCATAGTCATCGTCATCGCCTTCAAGGTATTTAGCTCTACACAGATATGTCCTGGACAGCAAACGGTGTCGGCAGTTCCGGCTTCTTGCTGGAGGCTGGAAAGGCGCAATCCAGGGAGCGGACATGGCATGCCATAGCTGCACACTGCGGTCGGCTGTGGTGTCTTTGGCAGGACCTTGAAGAGCATCTATGGTTCACGGCTACAACAGAGGATGGCCAGCAATTCATGCCGAGGGAACCATTCCCATGCTCGCAAACTGGCGAACCGATCATAGCCAGTCTCAACGAGCAACTACACGCAATTTTAATCCACCCTAGTGGGACAGCTTCACACTATTGCTTGACAAATGGCGAGCAGCATTGGAAAATCATTTGCAACTTCTACATAGGGAAGTATTCAAGGCCAGCGATATATGCTTTCCACAACCGGCTATTCCTCGCGTATGTACAAGACGATGAGCTGTACTGCATGGTCTGGAATCATGACGCGCTGGAATGGACCAACTCCTACCTCATAACCAAGGGCGAGCAATGTTATAGGGGCTATTTCCATCCCGCTTTTGGGTTTCCTAGGTTGTTTGTTGTTGAGGGAGTTCTGCACCTCCTTTGCCTTTCTTACGCCACAGGGTGCGAGTACCTTCAACACATCTACGATGAGAACGCAAAATCATGGATAAAGACGGACAACACACCTGGGGAGACCATCATTCCTTTGGCTAGCTACGCTAGCTATGGGGGTGCTTTGTACATGGGATTCATCAGGGGCCACACAGGCTATGTCGCCAAGTATCGCGGTGGAGTTTCTTCTCCACAAGAAGAGACTGTAATAGAAACAACTTGCGCGGACGTGCCTCAGATTGCGATACTAAGTGGCAGGATCCACGCCATCTTCCCCGACGGAACATCCTCTCGAGATTTACGTTGGTACAGCCGGTCGATTTTGGACTATTCTCCCTCGAGCTGGATGGCTGGCATTCCCGATGATACCCTCTTGAGCAACATGACTATCCCAGGCACACACGATAGCCCTGCAAGGACAACAATACCTTTCACAAAAACACAGAATCTTACCATCACACAACAGCTCGCTCTGGGCATACGCTTCTTTGACCTCCGACTACGGCTGCACAAGGACGGTCGCCTGTACTGCTACCACGGCGGCATCCCCCTGGGGTGGCCGCGCACCCTGTCCTTCGAGTCCGTCATGGACGAGATCTGGGACTTCCTCAACCCTCCCTCCGCGGAGAACGAGCCGACCGAGACGGTCCTCATCTCCATCAACAACGACAACAACTCCCGCGGCATAGGCAACGCGCCGGCGATCTTCTACAACGCCATCGGCGCCGCCATCATCTCCACGCCGCCCTACCCGGACGGCACCTCCCGCTGGGTGGTCGAGACGGTGACCTCGCGGCTGGGCGACGTGCGCGGGCGCGCCGTGCTGCTGCGGCGCTACCCGGGCCACCCGGCGATCAAGCCGGCGCTGCGGCACGGGCTCGACCTGAGCGCGTGGGTCAACGACAGCCCGGACTTCACCATCGTCACGCCGACCGGCGTCGTCGTGCGCCTGCAGGACAAGTGGAAGTACTCGGAGCGCATCGGGCTGCGGGACCTCGTGGCGTCCAAGAGCGCGTACGTCGAGGCCATGTTCCAGCGCGCCATGTCGTCGCGGCCCTCCACGCCCTCCGGCTCGGACTCGGACCCGGACTCGGACTCGGACTCGGACGCCTCCGTCGACGACTTCGTGCTGGTGCGCCCCCGCCACGACGCCACGAGGACGTCCCCCTCGAACCGCGGCGAGGTCTGGTTCGTCAACTTCTGCAGCGCGGTCGGCGAGCCGATGGAGCACGGCGAGGTCGCCCAGGCGCGGTGGGTGGCGGTCGGCGGCTACAGCAACGCCGGGGAATGGATCGACGGCGTCAACGTCTCGATCGGCGACTACCTGCGGAAGCAAGGGGCCGGCGGCGCGGGGAAGAGGCGCCTGGGCATAGTGCCCATGGACTACCCTGAGCTGCCGCAGGGCAACGACCTTGTCTCGCAGCTAATCGAGACAAACTTCTAGCTGGGCTAGTAGGCTGGTAGGGTTGGGGGAGGCTGGTTGCACAAGGGAATGGATGGACGGGCGGATAGATGCGATAGGGAGGCCATGTGTATGGTAAGACACGGGTATGTGCGAACGGTGCATTGCCGATCACACGAGTCTAAGGCAACGACTGATGAACAAGAATGGCACAAGAAGGTCAATTTGAACAGCTGATAAATAAGATTGTATCATATGTGTGTGTAAGGCGCTCGTTGTCGCACCTCTTTTTGGGTATACAAAGGAGTGTCGGTGGCCCAGTGAGCACGAAATATCCTCCCATCAGGTCTATTGTGCTCCCATTCTATTTCCCGGGCCCAAAAAATATATAAATGCATTCCGTTTTCTATGCCATGCCAGTTTTCCCCCATTTAATTACAAGTGTTGTATGTTAAACCCATCACCACCTGGTGAGAGAAGAGGCAGACAGTATGTTCCCCCCCTATGAGCCGTGCCTTTTCCATATGAAACGCCGATCATGCTGCTAGGAAAGGCTGTCTAGCAAAATGTCAAAAGGAGGATATTTACAGAGCAAGGACGGCAACCATGATGGCAGCGAAGGCAGCGCCAAGGGAGACAGTGGTGGCACCGCCGGCGTTGTCAGAGATGACGGACGCGGAAGGAGTGGCAGTGCCGGAGATGGTGCTGTTAGAGCCACTGCCGGAGGTGACAGAGGCGGTAGAGCCGGATCCCGAGCCAGTGCCCGTCGCGGTCGCTGCAATGGTCGAGGTCTCTAGGGAGAGCTGAGAGCTGGGCAGGCCACCACCAATACCGGGGCTGCCGCTCTCGACAGGAGCATCAGAGGTAGAAGCAGCCTCAGAAGCAGAAGCGCTAGCGCTAGAATCGACGGCAGCAGTGGTAGTAGAAGATCCAGAGCCAGAGCCGGTTCCAGAGCTGCCCTTAGTGGTGGTGGGAGCTGCGGAAGAGGTAGAGGAAGAAACAGCCTTGCAGGACAGGTCGAAGACGGGAGTGGTGCTCAGAGTGTCGCCGACGATTCCGAAGGTGGGAGACGAAGGAGCATCGAACAGAGTGTAGTACCAAGTGTTGGTGGTGCCGAACAGGGGGCAGCCGACCTCGTCCCAGAAAGTCTTGGAGTTGGCGACACTGGCAGTAGCGAGGTTCTGGGACTTGCCGGCGGTGGGCCAGCCAGTCTCGGTCACCCAGACAGGCTTGCCGCCAGCAACACCGGTCACGGCACCGTAGGCATCGTCGAAGAGGGCCTTTGCGTTATCGATGCCGTTGTCCTGGGTGTTCTGGAAGTAAGGGTACTCATCAACACCGAGCCAGTCGCAGGCCTCGATAACGGCCGAGTTGGAACCGTTAGTCCAAGCGTTCCAGGTATCGACGTGGCCAACGGGAACATCTGCCAGAGAGGTGCCGGAGATGAGCTTCTTCACCTGGTTGATGTAATCAGTGAGAGGGCCGGGTCCCAATCCTGGGTTCTCGCCGTTTTCAATGCCTGTGGGAGTGATGCGGTACAGGTCCTCGCTTCCAACGGAGATGCCAGCAACCAGAGAGCCCAGGCTGCTACCATAAGTAGAGATGGCAGACTTCAGCGCAGCCAGCTCGTTAGCGAACACGGCATCACCGCCAGATGCCCAGAGACCGAGCAAGAGGGAAGTCTTGGTGCTGATGGCAGCAGGAATGGCGGAGATGGGGTCGTTGGTAGTACCGCCTTGCTATAAGTTGTGTCAGTCACACTGAAAGCATGTAGAGTTTGCACCTGAGTAAGGTAGGTGTAAGGATCATGATAGTGACAGAAACTTACCACCATGGTGTAGAGACGAGCACTGTTAAAGGTGCCGGGAGCACCGATGAGGCCCTGAGCAATCTTGAACTCATTCTCGAAATCGGCCTGCTGCTTGGCGGCACCACTGCTGTCGGTGGAGCCGTAGTTGAAGCCCTGGTAAGCGGCCAGAGCAGGGGCGATGGCGGCGGCAAGAGCCACCAGACTCGACTTGGCGTACATGTTGTTGTTTTGTCGGAAGGAGAATTTACAACGTATAGGACGTGAAGAGACCTAAGAAGTTCCAAAGAGGAGAAGTTGAAGGATCTGAAGAGCGCGTCGTCGAGACTATTGACTTTTTAACTACAGGTCCGGGTGTATTAGGCCGTGAGCAAGAGCGACTGTGTCAAAGCAGACAAGCTAGGAAAGCGGTGGTCCGTTGTTAGGATGCGTGTTTGGCTGATGGTGTCAAAAAACGAATGTGTCGAGATCCAGACTCAGCGAAGAGGAGGATTCAAGGTGTTTGTCGTACAGTTTTGTTGAGGATAGAGAGGGAAAAGAGAGGAGAGGAGGAGAGAGGAAGAGCTAGAGAGAAAAGGCATACGAATATGTATGGTAACGTACCTTTCCTTTCCTTACCTGCGTAGACCTTCTTAGCATACGAAATGGAGGTGCGAGTAAGTTGGCAGCGCAGCCAGTCACAGGCGAAGCCGCGCTGGCGACCATCCAGCAGCATCCACCTGCATCGAGAGGGAAACAACAAAGCAGGGGGCCGGCTGGCCGGGAATGACCAAAAGAAACGGCCGATCCCTGAACACGCGCAGCCAAAAGTGACCCAAAGCCGACAAGCGAGAGTCAAGAATCCACTCTGGGAGCTTCTTAGAGTCAAGTAGAGTCAAGCCATCTCAAGCCGTCTTGGGGCCACCTGGGCCACCTGGGCCACCTGGGCACACTGGGGCCACATCTCCACGCAACCACGCAGCTCCCCTGCTTGCTGTTTCCTTGTTTGTGCATCGTACCTTGCGCTAGTGGCAACTCACCCATGAATGACGGGATTCCCCCTCGCTGTGAGTGTGATACTCCCAGACTCCTTGCTGGCCTTCCTTGCTCAGAATGCAACGGTATAATTTTGGAAAGCTTGGAAAAGCCCCAATTGCCATCGACCCATTTCTCTCCTCTCCATCGCTTTCCATCGCTGGGGGGGGGGGCCCGTTCTGGCGAGTCTGGCGAGTCTGGGCATCGAGATCCAGGCAGGATTCCCACTCTCGCTCCCCATCTCCCGCCCCACGAGCCCACGAGCCCACAAGCCCACCACACGTTACTGCGGCCAGCGCCCTTACACGTAAGCTCAGGGGAAACATTGTCGAAATGTCTCTGTTTCTTGCACGCTAGAGCTGGACACCGGTGGGTTTGAGAAAAGACTGTTTTGACAAGAATTGCCTCGCTCTGGCATTCCCTTAGGCTGCCGGGGCTATGCTGGCTCGCTGTAGGCCGTCTGCCCTCAGTTCGCGGTCCAGGCTTACAGTATTCGTGTTTTTGCACGAGACTTGGTCTTTTTTTTTTTCCCTTTGGCCTGACTCTCTCGTGTTTGTTTGTGCGCCGCGCCGCGTGCATGAAGTCATGGATGGATGGATCAGTAGAAGATCAATGACACCCCAGTCGATCTCCTTTTCCCGGCTGATCCAATGGTGGAATCCATCCCGGGCGGCCTATCCGGGGGGTTTCTGCGGTTAGGGTACCTGATGTACTCAGGCTTGGCCATTAATAGCAGCGATCCGTCGCCGCCACAGCCAATTGCGGTTACTCCTCTCCGACCCACCCACGCTTGGGAAAGCTTGCAGGTCGACAAGAACCCCGTATTTCCAAGTCTCTGTTCTGCAAGCAAAGAAAAAGGCTCCTAATTAATACGAGTTTTTCACCCATCACGTCATGCATACACAGGTAGGTGCTCTTCACCAAGCAATTGCGGGAATGAACGGGCCCTCTGTGATCAACACGCGGGTGCTTCTGGAATGTCTGCCGTGGTGACCGGCCCAGCGGCCACAGCCCGTCGTCTGCCGTGCTTTGTTTGTCATTTGCTTGGCATGCAGTGCTCCAGTTCACTTGGGTCTGAAAATAGATTTTTCAAGGTCTCCATCTCGAACAGAAGCTTGTGTTAGTCAGCAGGGCTGGCCATGGTCAGTGCCGCCAAATTGAACACCAGTAGTGGCAAGTAAAGCGAGATGACCAACTTCAAGACCCCCAGTCCGAATAGTCCGGCATGTGACAGGCGACATAAGCTGTCAGTTTTCCGAAAACGCGAAACTGGCACTATGAAAGGATTCACTAGACTGCTTAGATACTTTGTATCACTTGCTGTAAGGTTCGGACTTTTGCCTCCATAGCAATACACTCGAAGAGTAGACGCGTCAGAGTGTTAATTAAGTCTATGCTTCTGGGTCTAAAGAAGTTCTGGCAACTTATAAGGGTGATCTACATAGGACTGGGAAATCCCCTCTTGAACCTGAGAGATGAGTACTCGCCAAAGACATGATTATGTGACCACAGAACAATCAATTGCGACCTTTATCTAATCTAACAAGGTATCTATCACGGCGAAGGTGCATCTTCAGCAGCGAGCTCTGCCTCCAGTTCCTCATCCTTGACGGCAGCAAGCTCGGTGTCCAATTCTTCCTTAGGGGCAGCGTCTCCCTCCACCATCTTCGCATCAGCTTCCTCTGCAGTCGATTTGCCCTCCGACTGCTCGGTTTGCGGCTGCGGCTTGTTCTTCGGTTGAACGTTGTTGACCAGTGGTGTCGTATCATTGTAGATCCGCAGCAACATAGCAGCTCGGTCCTCCTTTGGCAACATGAGATTCAGTGAATGGAAGCTCTTCCATAGCGGGAGAGCCATGTGCTCGGTGAAATCCTCATCCGAACCGTCAGGCTCGACCTTGAGCACACAGCAGCCCATGCCGATCTCACGGACGCGTTCGCCTATCTCGTCCAGTTTCTGCCACTCATCACCCGAGATCTTCGGGAACATCTCAATCAACAGCCGGCGAAGCGTCTCCTTATTGCGGAGGCGAACGACGCGGTTGTCGCCGACGTAACCCTGTAGAATCGGGAGGCCCTCCGACTGGATACGCCATCGGCATACCTCCGCGGACGGTGCATCTTGCTTCATGTACATTTTGACGCCGCCGTGGATGAACTTGACACCCTTGCCCTCATTGTTCACCAGGATATCGCGTACAAGAGCGCCGGTGTAGTAGATAGCCTTGGCAGGTTCACCAATAGCGTTCCTGACCATGTAGCGATCCGTCGGGAAGCGAGGAGATATGCTGTAGAAGGTCTTGATCGTCTCAATAACCTCATGGCCTTGAGGGAGATATTTGAACGGTTCCTCGAAAGGCTCGCTGTTCTTCTTCTTGACGCCATATCCGTCTTGCAATTCGACTTTGGCGTCTGGCTTCTCATCTCCCGTATTTTGTCGCTTCACAGGAACCTCTTCGCCGGCGTCTTCCTCTAAACCTCTCTTGAGGGGGTTCTTGATCAACTCAGAGCTGCCATTCTCTTGCTGAAGAGGATCCTCCATCATTCGCTTCAGCGGATTCTTGGGCTCCTCGGTCGTTCCATTCTCATTGCCGTTCTCTTCAGGTTTCGTAATTGGCTCCGCGGCCTGAGCATCACCATTTGCAGGTTTGTTTGTAGTAGGATTATTTGCGGGCTTCTCGGGCTTGGCCTTGAACTCCGCCTTCTTGTGCAGAGCCGTGATGAAGAAGCCGCCGGTATCCTGCAAATGCGGGTAGACTCGCATGCAGCGCTCAAGCGGAAGATCTTCAGTGTCACTGCCTTCGACTCTCGAGAACATGGACTCGACGAGACGTCCGGGTGTCACGCCATCCTTGCTCTGCTTGGTCCATTCCTCAACCTCATTCCAGTCATTCCAGATGCGGTTCTGCTTGTCCATGACTGGCCACTTCTTCAAACCAGGAACACGTTTAAGGCCAGGCAGCTCTTTGCTACAATCCACAATCTCAACTTTCTCCAACCCGCCACATCTATCAATGGCAGCAGCGACAACAGCCTCGTTCTCTACAGGGTTCATACTGCAGGTCGAATACACCACTCTGCCTCCTGGTTTGAGCATCTGAAGAGCCCGTACCAAGATTCGGACCTGGGTAAGGTGAAGCCCGAGCGCATTTCCCGGTAGCCAATCCTTCCAGAGGTTCACATTCTTCCTCAAAGTGCCATCTCCCGAGCACGGCACATCAGCAAGGATACGATCGAACTTGAGATACTTTGGCTTGTTGTGCTCGTCCACGCCGATTCTTAGAGGTGGAAACATAGTCGCATCGTGATTCGTGACGATCATATTCGGTGATGAGAGTCGCTTGAGCTGATGGATCAGCATGTGGCTTCGCTTGTAGTCGGAATCATTGGCGATCAACACGCCCGTAGCTCTACCATCGTCTGAGGGGTCGGCATCCATGTCGACGTCCTGGTCGTCGGGACCTGCCGAAACCTCACGGCCATCTTCTTTCGAGTGTAGCTGCAGCGCCTTGCGCACGCGGCCCTCCTCGCCCATGTGAATCATCTCCAAAAGTTGCGCAGCCTTGCTTCCTGGCGCGGCGCACATGTCCAGCACGACCATGCCAGGCTTGAGGTCCATCAGGAGAGGTGGAATCATGCTGACAACCTCCTGCCGGCTAATGTTTCCAACGGTGGTCTCTGACACCAGGAACTTCTGGAAAGAAGCGAAGGGCGGGAATCGCCGTACAATATTCTTGGGGGTAGTCATCCACCAAGCCAGTCCCTCAGGGTACCACGGCACGGGGAGAGGGGGCTCGATAGGCTGGCCATCGAAGTGAGTAATTGTGGTGATTTCGGGAATGTATCTGGTCTCGAGCAGCTTCTTCACGGTGAGCGCATGCCTAGAAATCCGTTTAGCGGCAGACCCTCAAGTGTACTGAACTCGTACCCCTTACCCTTTAGAACCGCAGAATCTGAAGCTGTTGGGTAAGTCCCTCTTGTAAGCATCCCAAAAATCCTTGTTCTCCTCCTGAGGTAGAGATAAGAGCAAGTCATAATACTTCTGCAGCCTCTCGTTCTCCTTATGGACCGGTGGGTAAGCTCGATTATCGCGACGAGGAGCTCCACGGTTGCCACCTCGACCGCCTCGTCCCTGGTGGTTGGTGAGTGACTGTACTTGCTTGTAGGTAGAAATAGGACTCACCTTGAACCTGCCGCGACCCATCTTGCGGTTGGATTGATGCCCTTGTTATTTTCCACGAGGGTGACAAGAACGAAGCGCAAGTGAGCACATGCACGGTTGAAGGTTTGGTCGCAAGCTCCAAAACCAAAAATTTCAATTCAATTGATGGGAAAGCTGCAAGGCTTGTCTGCCGCTAAAATGGAAGGTGGGGTTCCCACCACATAGAGGGGTTGGTGGTCCCTCCCATGTGCAGCCCAGACTTTGAGGCAGATACGCTAAGAAAATGGGGATGTCTTGCCAGACATGTACGATTATATATATCTATTTGCCTACCTGGGCAGGTAGATATGTATTACATCAAGACAGAGAAACATAGTAGAATTTTCCTGTCTTCTTTTATATATTAGGGCAGTATTTGTACAGATTCAGGATTGCAACACAGATGACCAAAGCTACAGCCTCGGCCAATGCTTAGCCATCAAGCAGGCCAACCGTCCAGTGAACTATCCGCTCCACCCCGTGTCCGTTGATAGCACTGACAGGGATCACTGCGCAGTCCTTGACCCAAGCATTAGCAACACCGCTGGGATGGGGTTCATCGCCACTGGTGACCCTGGATAGGTATTCCCGCAGCTCCCTAAAGTTTTCCTGCGTGTTTGGCAGATCTCCCTTAGTAGCCACGACGAACCATGGTTTAGCAGCAATGTGCAACCCCGATTCGGGTGCTGGCGGAGCTGGATAGTCGGCCATCATCAGGGGGCCGTTTGCCCAATGTGGTCGGCTGAACATGCCGGCGTCGCTGCTCCAGTCAATTCTGGATTCTCGTTCTCGATCCTGCTCTTCCTCCTCTCGCATCTGGGCGTATAGACCAACTTCGTTCCATAAAGCCTTCAGTGCCTTCACCGCGTTGCCGGCACTGAGATCAATCACGAAGGCTAGTACGCCAGCCCTCTCAACGTGCCGTAGAAAAGCAATCCCGAGGCCCTTGTCCAAATGAGCGCCCTCGATGAGCCCAGGAATATCGGCGACGGTAAATTTAGTACGTTGAACAACTTCCGTCTCCTCCTCCTCGCCCATCATGCCGGACGACTCTGGGGTGCCAGACACAGCTTGCCGAGTATAACTCATTACCACAGGGCGACCCTTGTTGCTGTCTAACACCACGGTGCCAATATTAGGCTGGAGTGTGGTAAAAGCCCAGGAGCCAACTCTTGCGCGGCTGTTACTTATTGCTCGAAGAAGAGTGCTCTTGCCCGCATTGGGCAAGCCCACAAGACCAACGTCAGCAAGGAGCTTCAACTCCAATTCAATCTCCATGGATACAGCTTTCTCACCCTTGGTGGCATACAGCGGTCGCGGAGTAGTTCTTGATACAAAGTGAGGATTTCCAAGACCACCAATGCCACCAGCCGCGAGTAAAATGGGGCGTGGAGTTGGCCTAGAAAGGTCGATGTGTATCGGCCCAGGAGGCTGCGCGAAGAGCCGTTCACGATGTGGCAGCCTTGGCAACTCCACTCGTTTAGCCTCCGACGATGACATCCCAGGATAGAGGAGCCATCTGTGACGGTCGTCATTGTCCTCATCTTGTGGCGCAGGGCTATCACCCTCAGCGGACAAAAGTTTGCGACTTTTACGCGCCCGCCGTAGTTGAATCTCCTCGGCCACTGGGTCTTCTCGGCTGAGCTCCTTGACCACGGTCCCAACTGGCACAGCGATGACCACATCATCGCCCCTCTGGCCAGCTTTACTGCTGCCCTGACCGTGCTTTCCTCTCGAAGCTCTTACTATACGTCTTCTTGAGAGTTTATGAAGAGACGTCTCTCCGTGGACTGCTTGGATATAGACATTGCCACCATGGCCACCATCGCCTCCGTTTGCAGGTCCTTCATCTAGGTATGCTTCTCTGAGAAAGGATATGCAGCCACTGCCACCATCACCCGCAAATATGTTGAGTTTTGCCTTGTCTGCAAAACTGGTAATCGAATAGTCGTCTGGGTCGGGATTGAGACGCGATGATGGCGCTGGAGCCGCGGTTTCAGTGACGTGAAAGCGAACGCTCAACCGGGTTGCTGCCCTAGCAGTTCGACTCGAATTGGACAGGAATAGGGAGGGATACAGGAATGGCAGCAAGAGCGGAGAGTTTCGAGAGCATCTTGGTGCCATTGCAAACTCTCTTCATCCGTGGAGCAAAGTAGAGAGGTCTAAGTCGCAGGAGGCAACTCGGAGCTGGTTGAAGTTTTGGCGTTTGAGATCACTCGAGGTCGGCAGGAAATTTTGTAAGCTCCGATAAGATAAGGACAGGCGCCGACGCACCGGGCCGTTTCCTGGTACCCAGCACATGGTCTACTACCACCGTAAGCCGAACTGAACCGTTTCAGCCCAGCCCCTCCCCACGAAAGCGGATCGCCCGCTATAAGTCACTCTCTCACAGCTTAATAGGGATTCTGAGGCGAGAGCACCGTACGAGCCTCAACAACAGCGCCTGTTGCGGCTGATATCGAAGGGGCTTGATGATCGCCCTCACGCGACACCACCATGGTGCCACAAAAGGACGGTGTCATTTCCATTGGGCATATCCCCAGAGCCTGCCGCTGCGACTGCCAGAGCAGTCTCATGACAGCGGTTGCCCGTCTTCACGGAGCAATGAATGCTGCTGTTTCTAAATGTCACAGAGCGAGCCTGTGGTCTCTTTTTCTTCGAATGGCTTTGTGGGATTGGGAAATAAATGAGACGGCTCGGGTCATCCTGCCATTGATTGCTCCACTACCGGTACCCAAGACGAGAAGGGGAAAGAAAGATGCGGTGTATCCAAGATGGCCCATGGCCCAACCAGGAGTGGGCTCATCCGCACCGAGATCCCCTCTTCATTCCAATGCCTGTCTTTCTTCCGGGGATCAGGTACCGTACCGTGCGTGCGTGCGTACCGCCGTTCCATGCATACTTACATCTGTCTACTAAGAGACTCTAGCCCAAGCGGAATGAACGGGTTCCATTCTTAATGGGGTTGGGCATCGTCTCTTCTTTCCAATCTCTTTGATCCTTTCATATTTGTTTGCTACCCTCGTCTCTCTGATCTGGGGGTTCTCTATCTCGGAACGCCCCTCATCTCACAACGGGCAAATCACCTAAGCAGCTAGAGGTATTCGATTACTTTCTCGCATATCGCCCCGGGCCTGACTGGTTGTAACTTGCAACCCGCATCCGCACCCGGAGGCACAATTGGAGATTTACTGGGGCCCGCTCCAGCCCAGCCCAAACCGAAGATCATAAACAGTCGGCGATTGGGCTGCTGCAAGCAAGCTGCACTCGACTCCAAGCACGAGCCCGCAATTCGACACAATTCGAGCCACGACACAGTTTTCCGGGCTAACGTGGTTAAGCTCAGAGCGTGGCATTAAAAGACGTGCCCTCACTACTCAACCGGGGCGTCTTCCCACTCCTCCAGTAGATCTTCTCTTGCTGCATCTCTCCACCAAAGAGGACGCTCTTGCTACCCACAGTTCTTCCTTACTCGACGAGCTCCCACAGACAAACCACACTATCTCGGCCTCTTCTCCCCTCCAACACACGCACAGCTTTCCCCAGTTCGTGTCGTACCTCGTCCCTCTCCTGACGCGGCGTTCAAGAAGTCGCTCGCCTCTTCTTCGTGCTGCTGCTACTGCTGCAGGAAAGAAGCAGGCGGAGCGTTATTTGGCTTTTTCCCTCTTCCCCTCTCTTACCGCCAGCATTTGCACCTCTCACCTGCGTGTATTCATATAATCAGGTCAGTTCGTTTTGCTCTCTCGTCGTTTATCTACTACTCGGCCTGCTGCTCCTTTCTTCCCCGGCTGTTATTGCCCTCCTCTCTCCTTCTTTGTGAGTCTTTCTCCCAGCCCCGCGTGGGGTGAACATGAGGAAGCATGAGTACTTGTGATAGCAGCATCACTCTTTTTGTATTAATAGATATCATTCTTGTTTAACTGCCCGGTGCACTGTATCATCCTCCCCCCGCTTCCCCGCTAAACCATGTATACCACAGAGTACCGACCTCGAAAATCTGTGATCAGGATGGACCCGGATTGTGCTATATGCCATGCTCCGGCAACCCTGGCTTGCGATTGTGAGGCCAAAGGCCTCGAGGTAGCTGTCCGGCAAGCTGAGAGCCGAATGATGCAGTCCATATACAATGACATACGGTAAGTAATTTAGATTTCCTGGCTCTTGAGCGGTCAACATTCCGGCAAATGTTGTTTAAGGAAGTCGAGGCTGATCATGACATCTCAGTTCTTGGGTACGGGCTCATGCACAAGATTACATCTTGGAGTACTTCCGCCTCCTCACAGAGCGGCGGAAGCAGGCTCATACCGCACATCTGGACCGGATCACAGCACACGCATATCATTACTATCACGCTCCGCCGCATCCGAATGAGATCCAGGCGGCCCAGGCAGCCCTGAAGCGAGGTATCGACGAGGACTGGCAGGCATCTGTACAGCGGTACCCTGAGGTGCTCGAGTATTTCTACAGCTTGGTCGAGCTGACCTTGCCAGCGGATGAGGAGCCCCAAGTCAGGGATCCACCGCTGAGCGCCCTCAACGGCTCACGGAAGGCCTCACGGAGAACAGGTGGAGCTACCGTTGCCAGCGGGCCCAGCCTGGGCCATGACGCCCTCCCGAGGGGGAGGACGCCTCCGCCTCTTGAACGTATCGACAGAAGAACACCCGGGCCAACCAGGAGGAGTGCGTACCGGCCGCCTCCTCCCCCGCCGCCCACAACGTATTTCCCTGGAATGCCCTACTGACCTGATGACCACCCTCTTGCCCTCTTTTCCCTATGTTTCCGATTTTGTGTGTAATGCGATGACGCCTACGAGTCCCACGAGTACGAAGTGCATGATAGTGGAAAACTACAAAAGGAACTTGACGACTATTTGCATAGCGGACGTTTTATGGCATTCTCATTTAGACAAAGACCCACTGATGATTCCCATTTGGTGGAGTTTTGCTATCTTCACCCTTTCTGACCCCCTTTGGATAAGACATGTTCATGCATGGATTTTTTTTTAACGCTGCTTCTGGGCCGGAATGAACTGGACGGACGGACAGATACCTTGTTTCCTGTGTTTTGTCTCTCTTATTGGAGTACAAGGGGTGTACACGGTTTGTGAATTATCATTGCCACGGCTATTACGGTACCCGCAAGGTTAAGGTCAAGTAATCGAAAATCGAAACACATTTTAAACGCTCGCAAATATGGCATGTTTAGGTGAAAGCACACCATCAACCTCGTCACAAAACTCACCTGAGCTCCTGAGCTTACCCTGTTACATCTTGGTAATGATCCGTAGCGCTATCGGCACAACCTGATCTTGTTGGTTCACATGTACGTGGGAGCTATGCTGATAAGCAATACCGTAATGCATTGGCTGCGTTGCTCAATGGCATGCATCGAACGGGGTATAAGTCACGACGATTGGCAAGAGTGGGCATGCCCAACGAGTGCCCAAGGTGGTGGGCGCAACGAACGCGTGGAGGATCTGAGTGGATTGATGTATGATGCAAGTCGTTCATCTCATGCGGCTGCAAAGCTAAGCTACCTGGAAGGTTCAATTTGCAGGGACGGGCCGAGGGAGACAACAAAAAGTCAATATGATCTCAGTTATTTTCCCACCCTAAGTAAAGACAAGAAAGAGTCAATTGCGCCGCCCGAAATCAGCAGGTGAGAATTCTTGCGGCGACTGTGGACAAGATGCATGTGATGTCCAATATGTTTTGGTTTTCCGTCTTGGTCGGATAGTCTGTTCGGAAGCACGGCTTATGCGGCCACTTCCTCCTTCTTATCCTCGAGTGAGGAGTCCTTCAGGTCGGCGGTCACATCGGCGACGGCCTTGTCCTCGCCCTTCTTTCCGTTGACGCCGTTGGGTGTGGCGGTACCGGATTCGGCGGCCTCGTCAGCCTCAAGCTTCTCAATCTCCTTCTTGGCTTTCTCGACGTTCTTTATCATGTTAGTCTGCTTCTGCGCGGCAAGTAATTGGTTTAACATACCCGTTGAGTCTGAGCGGCTTGGTCAGACTTCCAATGGTCGAGCTTAGCCTTGATCTTCTCGACAGCAGCCGGGACATCAGAAGCGCTCATCGGAGGGTCGATGTTCATGAAAGAGCAGTCCTCCACGACGGAAGGCGGCAGGTTGAACTTGGCGGACTCGGCGGCACCGCCCTTCTTGCCCTTCTTTCCCTTCTTCACGGCGGGAGCATAGTCCTCATCACGGTCCTCCTTGCGCACCAGCCGGGTTCCCTTCATGCCAGAGTCGTCAACCTTTCGCTGAGCCTGGGCGCCGAGGCCGCTGTCAGCCAGAAGGGGGGCCTTCTCAGCAGAGACGTGAGAGGGGTCGAAGAAGTGCAGCAAGCTGTTAGCGCGGCGGATCTCTTCCAGGTACGCCGGGTCGCTGGCCTCAGCGAGCATCTTCTGCGCACGCTCCTTCTTCTGCTCCTTCACAATGCGGTCCCGCTCAGCCTTATTGCGCTCCCAGGCTTTCTGCTTGGCCTCGCGCTCATATGCAGCAAAGGCCTTCTTGGCGCCGTAGTACTCGTCCTTCAGCTTCTTGATGGCATCGTACTTCTCGCGCTGCTGGGCCTGGAGCTTGGTCCGCTCGTCTCGCAGGCCAGAGAGGTTCTTGTAAGCACCGTCCTGCTCGGCCTTGATGGCATCGAGCTCAGTCTGGATCTTGGTGTACTGGTCGCTGAGCGCCTTGGCCTCCGGGTCGTCCATGCTGTCCTTGATCTCCTTGATCTTGGCACGCAGGTCGTCGATAGATTTCTGTTGGTCATCGAATTGGGAGAAGTTCTTGCGCTGCTTGCGGAGGGAGCTAATCTCGGCAAGAGCCTTCTTCTCGTCAACCAGCTTCATCATACCGCCGTTGACTTGGCTCTCGAGACGGTTGATCTCTCGGTCGACATCCTCGACGCTCTTGAAGGGGACCTTGCTCTTGGCATTCTTCTGCTCGTTGATACGGCTACGCAGCTGCTCGTCGATGCGCTTGATCTGATCCAGCTTGGTGTTGCGGGTATTCTTGCCGCCGGCCTGCTTCTGACGGATCTCGTTGGCCTGGGCGATCAATTCCTGACGGCGCTTCTGGGTCGGGTTCGGGGTGTCGGAGTTCTTGTTCGGCTGGGCGAGCTCAATCTTCTCCTTGATGGCTTTCTGCAAACGGAGAGTCAGTTTGATAAGGAATTGAGCGTGGAGACCCAATGCATTATGCGCAAGGAAATAATCAAGTAAAACGTACGTATTTGGTCATGACCTCGCTGTGCTCCTTCTCGGCCTTGGCCAGCTGTTCCTTGTAAAGGGCCTCATCTGGCTTCTGAGGTTTGGCCGCCGGGGCAGCAGCGGCAGCGGTAGCGGTAGAATCAGCCATGTCGACGAACCGAAAGAATTGTCCAAGAGTCAGCGCCTGTAGAAGGATAGCTACAGGTTTGCAACAGAGATGAACCGTCGACGGGCTCCCTTAAGAAGGATTCGAGTCGAGGTAAGCAAGGTGTGCAGCCTAGAACCTGAGTTGGGACGAGACTGTAAACCCTTTGAAATTCGCCAGCTTCCGCCAATTCACTCCAAATTTTTGCCTCGTGTCCCGTCCGGTCTCTGGTCCAGGCACAATTGGCTGGCTGGCCCGTGCACTGACCCAGAATTAATCCGGTCCGGCCCCGCACCACCCAAACGACCCCTGTAGTGACTGCTGAGGAAGTGAGAGCAACTGCTGGGAATTTTTTTAGGCTGTCCTTACAGGAGGCTGAAAGCAGAGCGTATCGTGACCCACCAACCTCATCGGTGGTAGAAAGATTTCTTTGACAAAGAGATCTGCTTTCCTCCACGACTGCTGCTGTCGCCACCCATCACCACTCAACTCTCCACCCTAGTACTCGTCCACCGCCATCATGGATGAAGAAGGCAACTCAAACAGAGACGCCAACGCGCGAGAGACGCTCAAGTTCTGGCGATCCTGGAGGACGGTGCACGAGATGGTTCAGGACCGGGTATGCGACTCCTCCTCCTGCCTTTGCGCAAGGCTCAAGCGCTCTGCCCGAGATCTGAATGAGACAGGGCCGTATTCCTTAAGATCTGGTGCTAACGACTGGATTTAGGGATACGAACTGACAGAGGAGGAAGTCAAGATATCTCTGGATCAATTCAAGGCCGAGTTCTGCACTACAGACGGTAGCGTAATGTCAGTGGAAGCCCGACTTATTTAGGCGACAGCTTCAAGAGTGAAAACACTGACAAACCCCTTCAAAACAGCCAATCAAAGCTCAGTTTCTCCGCGCGGCCGAGCGACGCCATGATGAAGAAGTTCACCCCGCCCCCAACGCCCGCGAATCCGGACCCGGCGCCAGAGTGCGGCAACATCTGGGTGGAGTTCATGTCGGACAACTCGATCGGTGTCAAGGAGATCAAGAAGTTCGTCCAGCACTGCGCAGGCTCCAACTTCAAGGCGGGCATCATGGTGACGGTCGGCGCGCTCAGCCCGCAGGCGCGCAAGGTCATCAACGCCACGCAGCAGTACACACAGATCGAGTGCTTCATCCAGGAGGACCTGCTGGTCAACATCACCCACCACGAGCTCGTGCCGACCCATGTCCTGCTTAGCAAGGAGGAGAAGATCGCGCTGCTCAAGCGCTACCGCCTCAAGGAGACGCAGCTGCCTCGTATCCTGCAGAAGGACCCGGTCGCGAGATACCTGGGCCTCAAGCGCGGCCAGGTTGTCAAGATCATCCGGAAGAGTGAGACGGCTGGCCGATATGCCAGCTACAGGCTGTGCGTCTGAGTGTTTTTCTTTCCCGTAAACACTTCTCCTTGGGGGTTCATTGAAAAGGGGCGTCACTGATTGAGGGATGGAATTGAGAGGCGTCACGGAGTTTTAGATAGGCTGGCTGCAGCCTACATGTCTACTAGACTACATGGAATTGACGATAATCTGCATGAGCATGCAAGTTACATAAACTGGTCTTGGTGCATTGGGCACATACATGTGGTCTCCTATTTTCAGCAGGGAACAGAGGCGCTCAGCTGTGACATCTTCGATTCGAGAGGACTGTCTCGAATATTATAAACTCGACAGCAAAAATGTTAGCAAAAGATGCTGCTTCTATTCAGATCGTGATTGTTATAAGCCATACATTCAAGGCGACCTGAAGCTGGCGGATTATTGATGGTTAGCTCATCACTTAATCCCGGGAAGATACTAAATCGTGGTCCAGCTTTCTCGCATAAGGGACTCATGGGCTGTCTTGACGAGTCTTTGTGACATTGATGAGATCGATTTGATGTTTTCAGAGCTACAAAGCTCCGGACAGCAATAGTAATATACACGGTTGAGGCTCATTATGTACGGTCTTTCTCGTCATAGTAAATAGTATCATCATACAGTTGAATCCTCGAGATTCTTTCTCTCATTTCAAGATACCTCATATGTTTGACGACTGATGGGATGTACAAGACACATCTTGTTGTCCTTGAGGGCTCAGTTTAGGTAGGGTAACCTGTTCAGGATGAGCATCGAGATCAAGAGTACAACTCATCCAACCAATATGTATAGACAGATGGACGACCAAGGCTTGTCAGCCATAGAACTTTCTGTGTTGAACACTGAGAAGAACTGAAGATTAGTTGTGTTCACTGTTCCACATAAAATCACCCGAAACCTTGCGTGTCTGGCATACAAAATAAAAGTACTGCTCGGACTATAATACCATCACATTTGGACATTTACTATTGATGACTTTCAAGTAATATTTATTAGTTTTCATTCAATCAACCTGCATTCAAGCAAATAGGTATATCGTCTTGAACGACCAACAGCAACAACAACAACAACAACAAAAGGAGTCCGCTGCAAATGCCGACCTTGAGAACTGAGGCGCTCTCTCCGCCCGGGTATATCTATAACATCAACAGCAGCAGCATCAGTAGTAGCAGCAGTAGCCACGCAACAGACGACATCGAGCGACAGCAACAAGGGGTGACCCAGTAAGGAAGCTATCAAAGCTTCAGTTTTTTCTCGTCCACTCCCCCCCAAATTCCTGTCCCCCGTTTACCATCATGAGTCATGATGTTTCTTTCCCTTCCCCCAGATCTTTCCATCCCAAAAATAATACCTTAGTTCATGAATCCGTGATAAGCGTGGTAAATAATGAGTTGTCCCCAAAATAAAGAACGCCTCCCGGCTCTAGTGTCTAGAACTCCTCCCAAAAACGTTCCGGATCATCATCCAAAATCTTACAATGCTCGTAAAAAAGAAGCCAGCACACAGCGCCAGCGAATGCGTTGTCGTCGCTTACTTTGTACAGGGTTTGCTCCAAGGAGAGCTGGAAGGGCTCCTAGTGCTGCCTTCCGGGACTCAGTAGCCCGCCCACATCCATCAAGTCTGGGCCGCCGCCTCCTCCTCCCGGTGGGGAATCGTAGTAGGACTCATACGGGGACTCTCGGGGTATGGGCTGCAGTTCGGTCCCATTTTTGCCTCTCGATCCGCCAGAGTCTTTTGATGGCGTCTTATTGAAAGGACCGAGAAGTCCTCCTAGATCCTGCAGTAATGCCTGCGAGCCTCTCCTGAAGCCGCTTGCGCCAGCTGGTATCGTCGGAGACGGTGCGCTGTGTGGCGACAATGGATCTACGCTGGACAGATAACTATCCCGACGGAGCGTACTTCGATCATCGCTTTCGGCCAGAAGCCCGCCAACGTCGAAGAAAGAAACTCTACGCGGAGTAGCAGAAGAGTTGCTCCGGGCAGGTGATAGCTGATCCCGTGGAATTAGAGAGTCGTCGCTTCTTGCGGCGCCACTCTTTCGACGTTCTGGGAACTGCCAGTGTTTCATATCGCTGGCGATATTTCCTACAGGAGCAGCGGGGTAGAACTTGTTGTCGTCGATACCAGGCGACTCGGGGATTTCCCGGAGGTTGGGGTCAATACCGTAGCCCATGTCTCGTACGAGATCCTCATCACTGCCCCATGGCCGTACCGTCGGACGCCGTGATCGTGAGGCACTAGATCGGTCCATGGAGTCGGCGACGGACCCATACTTGAACTTCTTCTTTTTGGTTCCCCGGTCTCTTACGAATGAGCCGAGGACTAGGGCGTTGGCAGCTGCTGTAGCGAATAGAAGCTCAACGGATGCCAGCAGAGACCGGGTCTGTTGGTTCCCGTCCTGCCAGATAATGTGCGGCACACGATAAAGGGTCACACCGACAGGGGCGAGACTAAGTGAGAAGAGGAGGGTGAGCTGAACCTTTCTCTTGACTGTCATTTGGCTTCGAATGATGATTGGGATAGGGAAGAAGACCAGCAAGAGGTCAGTAAGGATATTGCAGACCGCCATAGTCAACAGTTGCGCATAGCCCTGGCGACATTGGCCACCAGGATCTGGTAGGACCTGCCAGTAATGGGCGAAAGGTTGGCATTCGGCGAGATCGCTAATCAAGACAGCGATGAAGGTGGCAGCCAAGGTGCATCGGATAATTAGTAGCGTCATTTCGTAGGAACGTTCCCATGTGACGCCAGTCAAACGTTTGAAGAACTCTAGAATCGTGTTCTTGAGTATCCACAACCTGTATGCAAGAAAACCGTTAGCACCCGTAGACTTCGACAACTCTAACAAAGAGCAACCCGGCTAGATGGTAGCCACTCACGTTGCAGCGTAAAAGAATCGGCTCGCGAGCACGAGGCCGCTACCGATTTCTCTCCTCCGCAGAGCCTCCTCGCTCAACCTGGCGCCCGACAAGTCGACGTTGTTCGTACCGTAGACGAGCACGACATGCACGCAGCCCATGCGTGCGTATAGGGGAATGAGGGCCAGCGCCGCCACCCTGTCTTCCATGAACAGCCTCTCGCTGCGGATGAAGCGTCCGCCCACCCGCAGCATGATAATGGTCGTGCAAAATAGGGTGATCCACCAACATACTAGCAGGGTCGGCTTCTCCTGGTCGAAGGAATGAAGCGCCGGGGGATCTGAATAGAGCGTCATTTTCGCTCTCGAGAGTCGCCACGCTCGTCAACCTCCGGAGAGGGACGAGCGGGAAGGGTTTAGAGACTTCGATCGGCGGGAGGTGACGAAAAGGGTCGGTCCCAATTAACGGCGATGGCTATCTCGTCGTCCTGCTGGTGACCGGTAGTTTTGGTATGAGAGCCTCGAGACAATGGGGATTGAGGGACTCGAAGGGTCGTATAGGACTCGGGGGGTACTATGACGTGAAAGTGGTCTGTGGTGCGCTGGAAATTGGTAGCGAGTGAATCTGCTGCGGTTGCATGAACAATGCGATTGTTGTCATAGGCGGTTTGTTTCGACATAAGAGGCGATCTGAGGTGATGCGAGGTTCGAGATAGGGAGTCCCGGCGGCACATCCCATGCAGGGCGAGGTGAAGAACCGTTGACCGTCGTGATCACACGAGTGTGTGGTGGTTGATATGGCGAAGTGAAGGGGGAGGAGGAGGAGGGAGAGTGCGGTAAGAGAGGCAGCAATACCCTAGACTTAGACTACAAGCAGCACCGAAGATACGCCCGCCAGCAAGGAAGGGTCCAGGGCTGGGCTGGAAACTGGAGACCGGAGAGTGGCCAGCTGGAGTGAGATGGTACGGGGACCGGGTTGGGATGCCCACTACTCTAATAATATGCAGCAGCAGTAGGCAGTACTGCATAGTATGTACTCTGCTCTATAAGTGAGAGCAGAGCGGACATGGATTGTGCGCCGCTCTGCTGATGGATTCGATGAATGTGGATCTCCGCCCGTGGGCTGGGATTCCGGGAAGGGTGCAAAGAGTATCTCAGGGTGGGAGGACGACGGGCATTGGCCTGTTTCTGCTATCGCGGGCCTATCCCAAGCCGTTCCCTCCCCCGTCCATCCCCATCCTGCGGCCTTGGTTGCTGGTGCTGGCGCTGGCGTTGGCGTTGGTACATGCACAGTATTGCATAGTAGCAGTGGTGTACTATCGCAGCCCTGGGCCCGCCTGTCGTCCGTCGTATCTAAATGGCGCGAGGGTACCGAACAAGTATTGCGCCGCATGTACATTGCGGTGGTACTTGCCTTTTCTCTTCACTTCAATTTCCTTTGGACAGACAACACAAGAGAGCGAGAGATACAGGCATCCAGGGAGCCTTGCCCCGGGCTACCACAAGTACAACCACCATCCAGCAAGCACATGCGAGGAGGAGTGGTATCGCTGGTATGTAGCAGAGGTACAGAACGACGGGTAACGTGTTACCAGCAGGAGTGACAATGCGACTCGAGCAGCAGGATGGGATGGGCACATCACATCGGATTGGATTGCGAGCGAGGAAGACGGGACATGGTCCGGGTGCATCCCGCAAACCGCTGGCGCGCCCGCCCGCCCGCTGCAAGCTGACCGTCACTTTCAATACACAACCTGCAGTACCTCGAGTACGTACTGTACATCTGCTGGGCGCAAGCCTCTCTGCTTGCCCTGGGCCGAGCGGGCCAGAAGGTGGAGGAAGGAGGCTGCTACGTGAGACGGCGAGTCTGAGATGCTCGAGTCCAGCCCGATCTGCTCATTGTTCCCTCCCTGGTGGCTGGTCCCAGATCTCATCGCATCGCATCGCATCGCCTCGCCTAGGATAACATACGGTTTCTTATCTCTGTCGGTCAAGGGTTCTCAACTACGGGGCTATACGGTTCCATATCCATCCCTACGCTCGGGCTGGCGTTGCAGAAACACTTATGGCGTACCTCAGTACAGAGGGGCCCAGTGGACACTGTTCCTACGAACCGAACTGGCACCAGTGCTGCATAGTGCACTAGGCTATCGCATGTCTGTCTGAAGATGCCAAGATGTCCCAACCGGAGGCAATGCGCAGCAGAGGCAGATTTGGGTTTGGGTCGTGGCACTGGGACGCCAGGTAGAATACAGACACCGACACAATCTGACGAGTGGGATGTACCGAACCTGAGCGGTACATCGTCGCTACCAGAGCATGCTGCGTATGCGTATTGCTGGCTTCTGGGACAGCGGCCAGACCAGTCAAGCCCGTCTCGGGGACACAGTCTCTAAGGGTACCTAGCATGCCCGGGCTAAACGGCCTAGTCTCATTCGGTCCTGCAGCCCGCTGGGGCCAGAGATAAGGGAAAAGCCACCATCACCGTGGGTCGGAACGCAGGAAAAGGCTGCAGGCTGGCTGGGGATTGGTGGACGACGATTGGGGGGGAAGACGGGCCAGTGAGTCTGCTCCAATTGCAACAAGCAACATGCTATGCCCGCTTTTTATTCTCTGAGGAGTCGAAGGAACAGCAGCAAGCAACAAGGCAAGAAAAGCACGGCCGACTCGCCTACTCGGTCAAATCATTTCAATTTCCACCCAAGCGTTCCCGTTCAGTCTGGCCAGTCAAGTAGCACACTGACTGTACGCTACAGTACCAGGGTCGGTGTCGCTGCTCCGGTCTGGCGGATCACCCAAACCAGGGTCGACATTGGTGGATCTGCACCACACGATAGGCTGGATGGCTGGTCGGGAGCCGGAACTTGTGCTGGCGAGACCCTTATCACACACAGACACACAAGTGAGCACACACACACACACCACACACACACCAGGTTCCAGGAGCCCATTTGCAGCTTGCCTGGAACCCAAGCGCTGTGATATCTCATCATGTGTTAGCCCTGGTGCCGGGGACCCGGATCTTCTTGACTACTATGATACTCTGCTCTACTACCACTACTCGAATAACCCTGCTCTGGTACCCTAGCCTGACTCGTCAATTCAATTTCGCGGTCCCTGGATGACTTGCCATGTGGCTTTTCACGCTGCGAGACGGGCCATCGCCGGCCTCCCGAAACTCTCCTCGACGCTGAATACCTTGCACCGTTGAAATCGACGTTTACGCAACATATTGATTGCGCGTGAGGGGGGACAAAGACGCAAGCGCGGGTTGCATTGGGGGTACTCTTGCTCGCCTGCCTGACACGTACAAGAGCAACATCTCCAGCCGTCTATCCTTTCGCTAGCAGGCCGGTGTCAAGGCAGATCACACAGCCAGCGCTGTCGTTCTTTTGCTGGTGCAGCGTATCCCCTTGGTGCGCCATTTCCGAGCCGTCTCTCGATGGCAACTAGGTTCTTTAGCGTACTCCACAATGATTCTGCTAATCGCACTGGCACGTGTCGATGCTGATCTCCTGGCCTAGCAGTGCCCAGTAGCGGAGGATATTGTAGAGCACAGACGAAAACTGGACGCCAACCGAGGAGTACTTACAATAGACGGACCTCACAACCTCCGCCACTAACTGTTCTAGTCAACGACTTCGCCCGGGCTCGTGAAAGTGACAAGTATTCGATGAAAAGTAATAGTGCAGAGGAAATGAAGCGATGCCACGCGGCAGCAGAGCGTGCTTGATCCATCTGTAAAGTTGCCCGATTTGTATTCAAAGATCAACAGTGTGTATGGCCTTATGAGGGGAATCGACTACGGGTCGCGACCACACCCCTGTGTCTATCCTCAATGGGCTGTATCGGGCAACAACGGCCATGCTAAAGCACCCGGGTTGGTGAACAGCCGCGGGGCTGAATCACTACACGCGAGTTTAGGTTTCGACTCGATGTCTCTTCACCTCTCCTGAGTGAAACCCAAGACGCATCGCCGTAGTCTGAGAGGGAATAGCCTCAGGGGTCCCGAGTGAGTCTGGCACTTTTAACCTCGCCTACCTCATGTATGATTAGGTATGCATGTTAGTCAGGCAGAATCGTGCGCAAAATTGCACTTCTGTCTGCAAGTGAGGTAAATGGAAAGCATGGTGGGGAGCACAGATCACATCTTGGAGCCTTGTCGCGACCCTTATTTAACGACCTTCCTTGATTGACAACTCACTGACATGATATGTGGCGCGCTATCTCGTCCCCAGCCTCTCCCCACTGAGGATCACGACTATCTCAGTGAGGTCAACAATGACTTGTCTCTCGTCTTTGCCTGTCTCTCACTACATGAAGCATCTCGACGACCCCCACACACACAATTTCCTGTCTTGTTCAACCGTCAGACAACTGTCGACCCACAAATGAACACACCGACCCTGTAGTCCGACTCTGACTGAACTCCAACACGGATTGACGAGTACCTCACCAGGTACTTTCTGCAAGTATGTTGAGGTGCGTTGCAGTAGCTTCTCCAACAAATTTGTCCATCTTCCCTAACCGCAATCTTCCGACTTTCCCTCATTGCGAGAAAGTGGGGTATTGTGTCTCTTCACTCTTGCGATCGCTGCACTGAACGAGATGCCAACCTCGTTTCGACTAGCGTTCGCTTCTCCTTGCCCTACACCCTCAAACCTCCTGCCACTTGCAGACGCTCTCGCAGGCCAGCCCCCCTTCGCTCTCCCTCATCAAAAGCCTTAGAGGAAGTAGAGCTTGTCTCGTCGTGAAACGCAAGGCACGAGACCACTCCCTTTGCTGGCTTAGGTGAACAGCCACACTTCGCGGCTGCAGAAAGGACCTTCCTGAAAGCGTTCAGCAGGCAGATCATGACGAAACGTGTCCAAAGGGGCCAGGAGATTTGCACGGGCAGCTACGTGCAGAGAGCATGTGCCGTGGCAGCACTCAATAGATGCCCTTCAGCAACTCTTCAACAACTTTTGTCGTTCGATGACAAGGTAGGCTCATGCTGACTTGTCAGCAGGTGCTACTAACTTGGATCCCCCCCGTTCGCAGGTCGAGCCCGTGCTCCCCCCATCTGCACATCATCAACGCGGATCCTACCATTGGTTCCGCGTCCCAATATATTGTTGCCTACCGCCAATGCGACTGCATAAGGAGGCAGACGGCTCTCTGGTACATGTGGTCCAAGCTGAAATCTGCATGCATTGCACGAGAGCCAACGATGATTGATTTCTAGTATATACTGAACCAACCCTGCTTCTTAACGTCCCAAGCAGACGGTCAATCTAAATGATCAATTTCGGATGACCAACGCACCCCATGGCCAATATCGTCGCCGATAGTAAGTATCGTATGGCAGTATTCAATAAAGTACACTACTCTCGTAGATGGCATTCACAGCAATCATCGCTTCAGTCCAGCTGTGGTAAAAGTATTTCAATATTGTCATCTTATGATGCTTATCCCATTGTCGTTGTCATTCCTGTGAAATGTGAAGTAGAAACCACATGATATCCCAGCATTTATTTCACCTCCTGGCCAATATATCAGAAGCGTCTCGACTAGCTGAACTGATGGTCTACCTGGAAGCTCGAGTAGTTTGAAGATCTCGTGACGGCTAGAAACGCGTTGATCTGGGGCACGTGGGTTCGTCGTCGAATTCGATATCAACATCTGCCAGCATGTTCCATGGTATGTTTCCATCAACTGTGACGCCTCTCTAGGGGCGAATGTGTCGGCCAATTCTAGGCCCAAGTGTAAGCAGTAAGCATCAACATTACGGTGTCAACTCCATCTCTATCACAACGGTCGCCCAGCAGTCCAGACTTTGCCCCGCGGAGTCCTTCTAACCTCGCAGGCATTCTATCGGATCCTACCCTACTAGCGGGCCGTTTCGTGAAGACGATCAGAGACCAGTTTTCAATAGCTGACAATCTGGGGTTGTTGAGAAGGGAACAACAGTTGGCCAGACCTATAACAGGCCAAGCTGCCCTCATGTGGGAGGCGGCTGAGCCGCACTAAGGTGGAAGGTTGAATTGCTTATTTAGATCGTGACGCCCTTCCTCCAAACGATCCGAACGCAAAGCCAGGGCAGATCTGTGCTTGCTAGCAGCTTGGCAGATGCTCTGCATGCTGCTGTGATGGAGTCGTATTCTCGTTAGATCATCCTAGCGCACAGTTGTGAGTTGGAACAGCGTAACATTTACTCGGTAGTCAGGACACGGGAACCTGTGAGGAGTGCTGATTCGCTGTGGAGCATTCCAACTCCGAACCTACCTACCTAATACACCATGGTATCGGCCAACCTGCATTAATGAAGAACTTCACTCCTATCAAGCGTATATATTAAGAGATATGTGAATCCACCGCACTGAGGATGGAGGTGGCTGGAAAGGGCCATCTTAACTTCCGCTGTCCCTCAAAATCTCTCAGGTGGTAAGACAGTTGCTCCCAGCTCCGAATCGAGTTTCAAGATGTTGTCCCGATATCTCATCATTGAAGCCGCTCTGGCGGTCGGTTCCGTCACGGCCGCTTCCGCCAGCTGCCCAGTGGATGCACCTCTCAGCTGCCAGAACACGACCGTGTATGCTGATACTTGCTGCTTCAACTACCCAGGAGGAGAAATTCTCCAGACACAGTTCTGGGACACAGATCCTTCCACAGGCCCTTCCGATTCCTGGACCATTCACGGACTTTGGTAGCTCCTCCTGCCTGGCCATCCGGTACAATGTTGCCATCGATCTGCTGACACCAGGACAGGCCCGACTACTGTGATGGATCTTACCCACAATGGTGTGACACCTCCAGGGAATATACCAATATTACGGCAATTTTGAAGGCCACTGCTCCGTGCACTCTCAAGTATATGGAGACTTATTGGAAAGACTATACCGGTGATGATGAGTCCTTTTGGGAGCATGAGTTCGGAAAACATGGTACCTGCATGAGTACACTTGAACCTACTTGCTATGACAACTATCAACCTACCCAGGAGGCCACCGACTACTTCAAAAGGACCGTGTCCGTTTTCAAGACCCTACCGTCGTATAAATGGCTCGCTGAGGCTGGAATTGTGCCATCGACGACCACAACATACACTCTGGCCGCCATCCAGGCTGCGCTGAAGGCTAACTTCGGACATAACGTGGTCATTGACTGTAACAGCAAGCACGAGCTCAATGAGCTGTGGTACCACTTCAATGTTCGCGGCTCTATCCAGACCGGAGAGTTCGTCCCTGTCGAGCCCGTTGGCTCTGGTTCGACTTGCCCTTCCACTGGCATCAAGTACCTGCCCAAGTACCAAACTGCCTCATCCAGCACAGTCGCGCCAACCAGCACTGGCACAGCTACAACTACCGGCGTTGGCGCCACCTCCAGCACGAGCGCTTCTCCTGTCGCGCTCAGCGGCAAGGGCATCTTCAACGTCGTGTCTCCCGATGTCCCGCCCAGCCAGACCGGCGGCTTCCTCATCAGCGGCGGCACCTGGTACCGCAACGGTGGCACGCCGGCGACTTACACCGCCACGCCAAACGCCGACGGCCTCACTTTCACCTTGAACACCAGCAAGGGGAAATGCACCATTCTTGACGACGCGTCCATCTCCTGCGCGGCGAGCGTTACTGATGCGAGCTCCTTCGGGTACGATGGCACCTACCTGACTTATGACGGGTCCTCGACTTTCTACGCTGCCGCCGTTCCCACCGGCACACCCCAGGTGACTGTGTACACGACCCCTATGGCTGTGTCTCTGCAGGCTACCTGGGTGGCTAAGTAGTAGACCACATCTTAGATCTCAGAAAGCTTATATATACTCACAGCTAGGTTCGAGACAGTTTACGTCGATCTGATACCTGGATAAGATGATATGGGTCTTTGGTAGTATAAGGATCACCAGGACCATCTGAGCCTATATATGTATAGGAAAAATTAGAAACTATTCAACGTACATGTGCTAGCGGTTCTATCCCTACGTTCGGGGAATAGTGTGATGATCCGCGGACTTTCCTGTAGTATCTAATCACGATATTGTATATATATATAACAAGCACGACAGCAAGGGGTTTGGTGAAGCTGAGCATAAGTGTTCTTAAATGCCTTGACGATTTCAATTGTCTAGGTTTCGATCTCTCATTGAGCCCTTCAGTTCCAATATCTCGTTATAAGTGAAGTGCTCGCACACAATGGCCACGGGTTAAGAGGTCGGTGCTTTTTCATGTACTCGGCCTTACCGCAATGCTCGAGGGGTTATTTCAATATCGCGGGCCTATCACGATGCCCTGGCGTTTGTAGGTAAATAAGGCTCAAGGCCAGAATTCGACCTTCTCCCACTCTCCAGTGATCTTGCCGCCCTCATGAACTGTCCGCCCTTCCTGTCCCACAAAAGTGTAAAGGTATCTACGGACATCCTCTGGGTTTGACAAGTCGACTTGATCAACCTCTGTGGGCACAATAACAACCACCCTGAAGTTCGTCCGGGCCAGCTCGTCGTCCAGGTCCTCGACTTTCTGGCCAAGACCTTCGCCTTCTTTCGGCGGGACAGAACGGAGAGTGCCCGGCGCCGGGTTTCGGAAGGTGCCCCTCATCCCGGGGCTCAAGTTGCCGAAATGGCCCGTTATCTCTCGGCTCCAGCTCCAGCTCTCCTCCGACGAGCCCTTTCCGCCATCTGTAGGTGTGCGCATCCGCTTCTCCAACGCCTCCCGCACCGCCCTGCCTCCCTCGCCATCAATGTCTGGGCCGAGCACCCACGCTGTGCCCCGCACGCGCCATTGTGTCTGCGGCTCCGTGGCCCAGAACACGGCCTCAACGGCCCCGCCGCCGCCGCTGCCGCTGCTGCCCACAGAGTGCAGGCCGGAGCCGCCGAAGATCTCGGGAACCTTGTCCATGCGGCAGTCGGTGGTGAAAATGGGCAGATCGGATTCGTAGACGCCCTCCGGATTGCGGGGCGCCTTGTTCTTGTCGTTCTCCGGCATCGTGCCCCAGACGCCACGCATGACGCAAGTCCTCGCCCGGGGGACTACGCTGGGGGCGTTGGGGGCTGAAGAGGGGATGGGGTGAAGCGTGGAGAAGGTAAACAGGGCTTGCTTCATGCCCGAAACGTGCTCTAGGAAGAGAGATCGCCATGGCGCTGCTACCGCCTTGGAAGAGGATGACGAAGACATAGTCTCTGAATGGATCCCGGTGAGTTGGGAGGAAATGGAAGATAGCCTCTGTGTAGATCTGTATGTAGCCGTGGTGAAAAGGTGCTGGGAGAGCTTGGAACTCATTCAGTCACCCCCGTGCAGAAATAATCGATGAGGTCGCTTTTTACCTAAGCCGGATAAGCAAATTTGAAGACTGTGTCTCTGATGAGATATTTGAGATGTCTTATGATGCTTGGAGATGTTGTGGTAGGTTGGCTCTTAGTTGATACTTGGAACTTGGGTGTGGTGATTCATGACTTGTGTGGAGATGATGCTTACTTGAAATAGAAATCACTTAAGCTCACTGAGCATGAAAGTGAAAAGACTTATGCGGATATAGTAAGAAGCAATTCAATTGCCTTCGTCAATCACATTTTCTGGGGAAGTGCCAGTTGAAAGACGATGGGGGATTTTGCTGAAGTTGAGAGTTTGATATAAGATTGAGGTTCTATCCATTACGTAGGCATGACCCTAATCCTGATTGGGCCCAGGCTCACATCCCAGGCAAATTCCCTCTCAAACTTCAATCTACAACATCGAGGATCTTGGCTGATTGAGCCCTGACTATGAAATAATAGTCTGCAAAGGGCGACTAATACTGTCATAGTCCCAACATATAAAGGTTATGGTTGCTCAGCCTAGTGGGGACGAGGTGACAAACGCTTCGCAACCGACCCCTTTTCAATGGATGCCCACTTGGACAGCAAAACAATCCATATTTGGCTAGATCAATGCCCCAGTGGAAGAAATTGCAAGAAAGCAGAAGTTGGGGAGAGCTTGTGGACTTGCCATTACCGAGAGCATCGTTGCTTGAAGACATTCACTAGAACTGGTCGAACGTGTCTTCTCATAAAAGCATTCCAGGGGGTGTGTCGTGATGAGTATAATGCAGATTAGACCAGGAGCTGCATTAGCACCGGTGTACGTACATAAGGAAGTCAAGCTCAATAGCCTCAGTTGTGCTTTCACTTCCCACTTCTAGACCAGATATGGTAGGAGCGCTAGGGAACGACATCCATACTACAAGCGACCCAATACGAAAAGCACTTGGAATAGCAATATATTGCTCCTTGAGATACTACATGTGCTACTCGGAGATCGTGACTGGTCTTGAAAACGGCCTCACGGGGTTATATCGTTGGACAATTGGTGCAACACGTCCTATATTTGTCGTTTGTGAGTAGGCCATTGCCGATGAGTGCTTTCTGTCGCTACGGAGACCGCATACGACACTACCTGTGTGCTATTGTAGGGACAGTGGCGTATTTAACCCGTCTTCAACCACTGCCAGTTCCATCAGGGGACCTCATCAATCCAGGCCAGCTCGTTTCTGTGATGCGTAGGTGACTACTCTAGGTGAGATGCACCAACACGAGAAGAGCCACGAGCGCTTCTCACGTCATGAAAGCAGAACAATATTCCGATACGTAGTCTCTATATCTGTGGGTGTGGGCATTGCATTCTCGCCTTGCCACACAATCCAAACCCACAGTATTCCCGCGATATTACCTCCTGAATTTGGTGGGCAGTGCACGATGGGGACTCAACTGTGAGATTTTGGTGTCTCAGAAAATGATTTAACATGGGTAGGGGTGCCCGCCCTTTTCATTTTGTCTCTCCTTTTCCTCTGCTGAAGGGCGGTACCCCGTGTACGTTCAGAATCCTACAATATATCAACACGATCCTGAACCATCTTTCGGAACCATGCACTACCATTTTCCTGATATGTATTGAGCATATTGAGCGTCAGGGTTTATGCCAACTGTCTCGAGCCCCCCCTGACTTCTGATTTATCAAATCCTGCCAAACCTTGGTCCAAGTTTTCCCCGTCCGGAGGCGACCTATATACGATACATTGTCGGCTGGAATGAAGTATTATATATCATCTCACAATATTTAGAGAAGCAGGCTCAATAAATTAACAAGTTCGGTCTGGTTACAAGACGGTGCCAAGGAGACTGCTGTTCACAATCATCCAAGCATAGGCTCCATGGGATAGCAACACGGAGATAAAGGTCGAGGTGTATCGAATTCACTGATCATGAACTACTACAATTCGAAGAGGGCCTTGACAACATCCAAAACAATCCTCATCCTATGAAGCGAAAACTTACGGCGTGGTTCAATTCATAAATATTTCACTGTGCTCCTTAGAAGCTTTATGACACAAGACACCAAACAATGCCTACGATGCTTCATCAAGACGTCACGCGATGCTTTCGTCTAATAATTTCAGGCAATCCATTACAAGAATACAGCGGATATGAGATTTCGTTACTACTACAATCTGCAGCTGGACAGGTCAACGTCTTGCAATCCGCACTTCACTCTTCGGCTGAGATTTCTCTTAGCTGTCATTCGATGTGCAAGATATCTTCATAACCTCCACTGGACCATCCAACATGACTTTCATTTATACCGTCCCAACTGACCTCACACCGAAGCCATATCAAAAGGCATATATTAGTCATCTCACTCTCGAATCTACGTTCGCCACAGAGCAACACACAGACGACCTCACACCTACAAGACATTGGCTCCTCTCCGAGACAGTTACAACGCCAAGTTGCAATTACACCGACGCTACCCGTCAGGGTGACCACAACAACAGATGAGCACGATGGGACTACGTCATACACGATTCTGAAGTGTCGGAAAAGACGGCCGCACATTGATTGTCACGGCATGGCCGGAGCCGATGTCAAATCCCGGCAGACCCCGGGGCGAGACAAAAGCAACGCGGAGGGTGGTGCTACCCCAACCTCCCCCAGAAAACGTGGCTGGCAGCCTCCCATATGCAGGGCGGTACCCGAAGCCCATCGGCTGCGTCTTATCAGCAACCGCATCATCGGCATTCGGTATTCGTGAAAAGGTGTTGGACGACACACGAAGGGCGTGCGCGCCGCGCGGAGATATCTTTACCAATGTAACTGTGCTGTTGCATGGGGTCAAGAGGTGATAAAGGCAGTTTCGGTACCCGCTTCCGAAAAACAACTCACGGAATGAGATCATGTGCAAATTAGAGAGCCTGGATTGGGTATTCGGAGGAGACTTCACAGGTAAAAAAGGTGAGTAGTTGCGATGCAGCTGACGTGAGCCTCAATTACCAGACCGCCAGACGGCCGGAACGATGCAGGAGTGCCTGCATGCACAGTTGATTATGTCGGTAAGGTAGGAACTGCAATATTCCTGGGTCAATGGACACATGTAGTGAAGGTGTCGCGATGTAGGTGTGATCCTACGTGCCTCCCCGTGCCCTGACCCCAATGACGCCAACAGGGCGAGACTGCAAGGCGGATACTATGCAACGATTCAGGGCGAGGGCCTGGCCCGTCAGCTGGAAAAGAGAGACAAAGCATACATGACATGGAGCGAGCATCTTACTCATACGCTTCTTCGTCTCCCAAGACACGGGTTCCGTAGTCCCAATTGAATGGGCTGAGCAACTGACTAGTGTAGAATGTATCTTAGACTCGGTACATGCTCTAGCGGGAAACGCGAGCGATTTAAGCTCATTGATCCTGATTGCTTGTGGTGGCTTGGCAAAACCCTTATGGATCGGGGAAGTCGTATCCATCCATCTGTCTCGTCTGCATGCATGTCATGTCATGTCAATCTGTCAATCTGTCAAGCTGTCTGCCCGTGTGTTCGTCAGTCCTGTCAAGTTTGAAGGGGGAAGGTGAGGTGAAGGGTGGATTCTCGATCTGATATTGGTCCGGTAGATGGCCGAGATGGAACTCCGGAGAGGCTGCAGCGGACATGCATCCCCTGTGCAGCGGCTGTCCCCCAGAGAGGCGTGGATGGGATTGGGGTTCGTGGTTCGTGGGCATGCTGCACGAACGCCCCCGCGCGCGAGTCATTCAGTCGGTGTACGATGAATCGATGTCGATGGGAGTTGCCGGGAGTAGCACAAGTACCAAGAGAGAACCAGGCCCCTCGGCGGCCACTTTTGGGGTAAGAGGAAGCTGTCATGGCCTCATCTTACTTAGTATCTTGATGGCGAGCCCGAAGAGCGGAGCCCAAACAAGTCATGTCTTCCCTGTCCAGCCATGCGTTCCATGGCTTGCCAGACGTTTGGAACTTTGGATTGCGCCGAGTAGAAAAACGCCTCGATTCTTCCACTCGTGGACCCAGGCACGACGGGTACCCCTTGGGTTCTTTTGGTATCGGACCCAGTACTCTCTAGTCTAGTCCCTTAGATTTGAATGGGGGGATTTTCGAGTGCACCCGATGGTTTGTCGTCGTCTCCCTCCCCCGGTTTTTCTTCAACGAGCAGCCCGGCCGTTCCCTCACGCACTGCACTGCACGCACGCACGCGCTCACTCACTCATTGCCTTGTTCGACTGCCTTGCCTTGCCTTGCCTCGAGTTTCCGCCGGTGTCGTCGTTCGTTCGTCTTTTTGTTCGTTCTTTCGAGGAGCTCCGTAGTAGGGCCTCTTTTCTTTTCCCCGCTTCGAAAGGGGGGCAATTACTGACCTTAATTCTTCTTCAGCAAGACGTAGTAGCGCGGGCGGGTTTCTCGTCGTATGATTAATACCTATCTTCGCTCTCCATTCTTCCTCTTCACAATCCAATCCAATCTTCGCCAATTCTCTCTCCACGATCCTCCATCTCTTATTTCCACCGCTTCCCCATCCTTTTATTCCCCTCTGTTCCACCAGCGCCCTGCCCAGCCGAGCCAGCGCAAGCCAATTCCCCGCGCCGCTGCGATCTTCGTCTTATTCCCAGGTCCAGCGCCCTTAAAGCCGGCGCCGCGACAGAGCTTACCCTTCCTCTGCCGGACCGCCGCTTCTCCAAACATCACCGTAGCCTACCGTCGTGCGTGCGTGCGTGCTTATTCCCGAAGGCGAGGCGCCTCAGCTCGCCTCGCTATTTGCTTCTGGAGCCGCTCGCTCGCAGACGCTGCCGGCACTTGTGAGGCCCTGGGCCCTGCTGCTGCTCAATTAAGTCACAGTAGTGACTGCGCCGGCGTGCGCTCCCGCCCATCTGCCGCCCTCGATGGAGCACCATCACCACCAGATCGCAGCCTTTGGGCCAGCCACCACCATCCTCACGCCCAATTCCGGCCCCATCTATGCCTCTCCTGCGCCAAGCCATCACCATCTGCCTGCCCGGCGCGCTACCAGCTACGAGGACGACCAGTCCAGTCCCACCAGCACCAGCGTCACCGTCAACGGCTTCGCCAGCAGCAACGGGAATAGCACAACTGCCAGCCCCACTACCGATCAGCCCTCGAGGAAGAAGCAGAAGCGCAACAAGCCTACCCTAAGCTGTTTCGAGTGTGTCGAGAGGAAGACAAAGGTATGCAACTCACCTACTCCACGTGGCTTTCTGACCGACCCGTTCCTTTCCCCCGCAATGTGCTTGTCTTGGTTGCTGGTACTAGTATCTGGATCTGGTAGTATGGAGTTGCCCGGATGGCCCCTACAACTTGGGGAATTCGGGGTGCAGACAATGGTTGACTCTTCAGATACATGGATTCGTCACTGTTCAAATTTGACTCTTCACTTTTGCATGTTTTGGCTTGCCTGCATTTATCGCTTCAGCAGCTTGTTCCCTTCATTTGGTGTGGCACTGTGTTGAGACATGCTGTGCTTGGTGTTCTTACGCAGTGTTTTCCGATCTTCGCAACCATACGTACAGCATGCTGACAAGACCGTTTAGTGTGACCGAGGACGACCTCATTGTCTTGCTTGTTAGTCCTATTGACCTCTAATCATTTGAAGTGTTGGTTGCTAACCAATTCCTAGGTATCAAACGCCAGACAGAGTGCAAATATGCACATGTTGCAAATCTACTCGAGTGCGTTTTTAAGCCCCTCTTCCTCTTTGCGCGTGAAACTCATCTGTGCTCAGGGAAACAACACGCTCTGCTGCTAATGGACGGCGGATGACCAAGCCTCCTAAGAAGAGGTCAGGAAGCATCAAATCCCCGACTTCGAATCTGGCAGACCGTGGTATTGTACATGGCCGGAGCAGCTCAAGAGGCGCCGTGGCCTTGTCAACGGGACTTTTGTCTAACATCCCATATTCCAACCCTAAGTCGTCTAATGTCTTTGGCATTGGTTCAGAACACCCCTTTGCCAACTATTGGACCTGCGAGGGTGGATTGCCGGAAGTGATATCAGTACTGCCCGACAAATTGCAGGCAGATATTCTTCTTGGCCGTTACTTTGAGTGTGTCGATCCCGTATACCCTATGCTTCACAGGCAGACTTTCTACGCCGACTACGAGCATTTCTGGTCTTTGCCGCAACCGGAGAAGGATCGTGTGGACGCTTCATTTGTCGCTCTCATTTTCGTCATGCTTGCCCTAGGTACGCAATTCGTCACAAGCACTACGGCAAGAGAGAGGAAACAGACCGCAGAATTCTATGCATCTGCCAGCAATCAAGCTCTGCGTATGAGCTCCTATTTGAGCACTGCCAGTCTAAGGTCAATCCAGGCCATGGTGCTGATTGTCTATTTCCTGATCAACGACAACCATGCATCTGATGGGTGGGCTTTCGCTGGTATTCTCATGAGGCAAGCCTACGCCATGGGTCTGCATCGAGATCCTAATATTGGTTAGTTGACCTGACTGTCCATTTATGGAGATCATCTTTTCTAACATTCCCAAAGTCACACCTGATGCTACCATATTTGAGAAGCAACAACGGCGGAAAGTCTGGCAGGCTGTCTTACACCAAGACACCTTCTTGACTGTTCTGTTGGCTCTTCCACCTAACGCAACGCACACAGATGTCAATGTGGACGACCTCATGGACGACTCGTCCTCCATCGCACACAGCAACCCGATGGACACCGCCTATATCCGCGGTTCCTGGACGCTGGCGAATCTGGTGCAGGAGACAATATGCAGTCCCCGCTGTCTTGATCTCCCCATTTGCGCAACGGCTCGCCACAAGTCTAAGCTTATCGCTGACTTCCGCGCCGTGTACCGGTCATTCCCCGATACCTTCCGCAGCTGGGATCCTGACACCATCGCCACGATGGCGCAGAATAATAAACGCGTCGTGCGCCAGACTCTCTTCCTGACGAGCAACTACTTCCACAACCTGATGCTCGTCCACGCCTCAGAGGGCCCAGATGTGCCCGTCAACGTAAGGGGGACGTTGGAAGCCGCACACGACGCCATCAACTCGTTCTTCATGCTCTACAACCTGTTTGAGCTGGAGGCACGGGTGTGGTGGGTGTTCAACCATCGCGCGTTCCTCGAAGCGCTGTGTATCGGCAGCGTCTTGCGCGAGGCCATGAGGGATCCCAATACCGCAGACGTGATGGCCAAGGATCCGCTGTTCGTGAGGGCCAAGTCTGATATAAGTGAGTGCTATCCACATCCGGAAGTGGACTTCCATCTGTCGCAGCTGGACTAACAGAAATAACAGCACGCATGATTGCAATCTTGCACGCCATGGGGGATGGCGAGAACGGCTCAGAGGTGGCAAGGACGCGAGTCCAAGTGCTTAATGAGTTCTTGTGATTTATATCCTTTGGCATCGCATCACCCAACCAAGCATGGTCGTTTGAGAGAAGGATTCAACATATAGGTATCGGCTTGCAGGGCGTTACAAAGGAGGAGAGGGTAGTCAGTATCAGTCACAACAAGCAACTAATGACCCAACCTGTAGATGTAATTTAGGTACAAATATACCCGCACATTGCACGAACCTTGCATAGCACGAAAGTGAATTTTTAAAGGTGTATACGATTCGGGGCCGTCCATGATCTATCATTGGCATCGTGCCCCCTTGTCAAGCGGGCTCAAACTGTACCCACGGGTGCTTGCCATTATCTATGTTACAATTGGTAATTCCAGTCCCCAACCAACGCCACGGCCGGCTGCAACGACGACGTTACGGAATTTTCTCGCCGGGAAAGAAAAGGTGAGAGAGCCGCCTGTGATGGTCATCCCTATAAGCTATCTCGTGAAATCGTCCTACGCAATCAGCCCCTGAGACCTCCTGGGAGGCTCTCGTATTTCATGAGCGCCTGCGGCCGTTGTTACTCGATCCGCTGCCACTCCCGCTCCCCGAGTTCCGCGAGAACGCGTCTCTGAACCAGCTGAACGGCCCGTGGCCTCCTCCACCGCCGTGCCCGCCCGTGCCGCCGCTGCCGTCCTCTCCGCTGCTATTACGCTGCGACGACGAGGACTCGTAGCGGTGCGGGTACCGCTCGCGCTCCCTGTCTCGGTCTCGGCTGGACGCCGACGGGCTGCGCAGTCTCGTCCTTGACGACGTGGCCGACCTGCCGTCACCCCGCGGACTAGGCGGGGACAGCGAGCCGTGACGTGGCCGGGGCGGTGTGCTGCGCCAGCTCGCCGGTGGGCCACCGGCGGCATTGCGGATGGCGTCGAGTCGCTCCTGGTTCTCTGCGGGACCGCGTGTTGGCCGCTCGCGGCGGCGGAAGCTGGTAAATTCCAAAGGGGGCGACGAGGGAGGCGGCACCCAGGGACCTGATGGTGCAGCGGACGGCTGGGGTGGCTGATTTGGGATGTTAGGATTAGCATTACTGTTGCCGCTGCCGCCCTCGACCGGGTGACGACATATCGGGCACGTATTGTGCTCCTTGAGCCACAGCACGACGCAGTCGCCGTGGAACCAGTGTTTGCAAGGCAGGACGGTGACCTCGTCGCCAAGGTGTATCTCGTCTATGCAAATGGTGCATTCTGCCTTGTCATCCGAGCCCATCATCTGCGCGTCCAGCTTTTTCTTCTCGAGACGCTCGATGGCACCTTGGGTTGCTGGCGGGGCTGCGTTTGACTGGGGGTTCGCTTCCATCAATGACGTGATGATACGATCTAGTGCCTCTTGAGAATAGACTGCATCTCCGTGGACGGCATTTGCAGGGTTCATGAGTGAGGCGAGAATCTCGTGCAGGCTTGCCGCGAATCCGGGTAGGGGAGGCGCCGCACCACCAGCACGGTTGGGATCCGGTGGAGGGACATTTCCACCACCCATTATGTTTCCAAAGACCCTGGGACGGTTGTTAGTGCTGGTGCCCAGAGTAATCAAGGTGACAGCTGGCAGACGCCTCTGTCCATCACGGGGGCGATCGTACGTGTCGAAGTCCATACCCGGGGGGGCATTCGATGGGCTCCCCGGCCCTCGTGTGATCGGGCCCGTCGCAATAGTGAATGTCGTCGTACCTCCCGAGAACCCGGGGCCTCTGAATGTCGTCCGGTGTACGTGAGGAGCCCGCCCACCAAACATGAATTCACCTTCCTCTTCAGGATACAGAGTGTCCGGTCCTGATCTGCCAGCCGTGCCAACTCTGAAGTCGTGCATCAACATGTCTGTGAAACGTCGCAGAATCGCGTCTCCATCTTGGGGGTCCGCGGGGGGCCGCTCGCCTGATCTTGAGGCATTGCCTTCCGGCGGCTGAGATGGAGAACGGTATATTGTGCGCCGCATGTAGAATCCCCCAGGTCCTTGCCGAACCTGTTCTTCTATATCAGCCTCCTCGGGATCGGAATCTTCGTCGTGCCCATGGTGAAACTCGTGAAACCCCCCGAAAGGAGGAAGAGGCGGCGGTGAAGGCTCATCGTCATGAATGTCTCGTGGGTCGCTGTCAGGTTCCACCTGACTGAATGTTAGCCTAGAGAGAGCACCTGGGAAACTGCGCAAGTCACTCACTATCTCTGTCGCTTCGCTTGAGCAGCGTGGGCACTGTAGTCCATGCTCGTCCTGGAACCACTCATTCTGGCACGAGTGGCAATAGACGACGTCTCGGCCGGCGAAGGCGTCGAGGTGCTGGGCGGCAGAAGACGCCGCCATTGCCTCCCGTCTGCCCTCTTGGCTTTGTTGGTAAGCCGTTAGTGCGGCTAGTCCTAGGCCGACTGCAAGGCCTGCTGCTCGAAGTGCCCGGAAAGCCAGTGTGTAAAGTTATGTTTGATTGCTTGAGAGTACCGCGCTTGAGGAGGGATTTCGAGGTTTGAGGTGAAGTCAGGCTCGACGCCGTTGTCTTAGACTCTCTGGTGAATTTTTATAGCTTGCGTCTCGGTTGCTGAACAGTGGGCTGGAGAAAGAACAAGGCAATAAAGGTCAAGGATATCGCGAATAAAGGCTTTGTTCCGGCAGCTGCATTCAAAGAGAAATGCTATGTTTGATAAGTTATGTGGAATGGTTGAAGAAAGGCTGTGCCGTCACAGCAGATCCTAATAGTCATTTGTTGTTAGAGTATGGCCAACAAACGGGTTTGGTGATGACGAAGTCAGGTGCAACTTGTCACGGAACACACTGTGGCCTAGGCCCGAGAATCCAGGCCCGGACCTGCGGCTGAGAAGTGATTGGTGGTTTTGTAAACGTTCAGGCAAAGGAAACAAAACAAATATGCATCCACATACTATTTTGAATGACTGTTGAGCAGCGAGGTGGCGACCAGCGACACGTATAAGGTCGTGGCAAGTGAGTGCAGAGCGAATCAGGAGGACGATAGCAGGGTAGGAGGCTGCCTTGCCATGAACCGGCCGAGAGAAATATCAGGCAAGCTGCAAAGGACTGGAAGAGCAAGCATCCAGTTGGTGTAGCCTCAGCCTCAGGTACTCCGCTGGTTCTTGCAGAGTGTATTCTACTGCTGCATGGAGGTCGGTGGTGGGCAAGTCTTGAGGCTGGAACTTCGAGCCGCGAGCGAGAGATACTGACGGGTCACCTATGCGTATATCGCCGTGCAAGAGTGGAAGTTGCATCTACTGAGTAGATGCAGTCCGTCTAGGTAAGTGAAGAGAAAGAGAGAGAGAGCGGGTGGGGAGGCTGAGGACTGGTATGCAACGATGTGATGTAGATGGTAGGTATAGGTGAGGCGTGAGGTGAGCAGGTAAGGTAGAATACTGCTGGCTGGTTATCGTGACTGTGAAGAAGAGAAGGCAGAGCTTGCACGTGCAGAGATGAGTCTATCAGCAAACGATGGATCCCAAGTAGCCTAAAGGAAATGTCTTTGTTTGCTGCTCGTTGGCGCATATGCCATGCCGCGTTGTATGCCCGTTCACTCACTGTGTGGCAGGAGGTCGAACAGATTGCTCAGCTTTTTGGGTGACCTGCGGCAAATGGAACCGTGACGAAGGCCGTCGATTATTTGGCCGCTATATGGCGGGGCAGTGACATAACGTTAGCTCTCTTCTACATGACGCACAGCCACACGTTCATTTTCCGAGTGTCCGGCATCAGCCGGCAGCCATCCATCCCCACGTCTCCCTCTGAGATTCATATCGCTACACCAGAATCGAAAACCGTCATTTCTAGGCTGCCCTACCAAGGTGGCGTCTTGAATGGTCTTTTATTTGTACAAGAGGATTATGTGACATCAAAGGACGATAAAAGTGTGTCCATACTGCTATTAAAGGCGTAGCAGAATGATAACGCCCAAGTCTGATATATCCCACTATCGAGGGCAGTAACATGTGCCCTACCTTATGTACTACGAATACAGAGCCTAATGGTGGAGATTTCTCCTTGCCCAATCCTGAACCCGGTTGAAGAATTTCAACTCCTGCGTATCTCTTCACTCTTCAGTCGAGACTCTTATTACCTCCTGGCCTTGCCCAGGTTCCTCAGCAGGATACCGCCGACAACTCCTGCCGCAACTGCTACTCCGCTGATGATGGCCACACCCATGAGGCCCTCCTTTGCCACCTTATCGTCAATCAATGCTCTCAGGTTGGAGGCCTGCAGATTTGCTGGCTCCTTGTCGAGCAGTAGATCATTGTACCTCCTCGCCTCGCCGTAGTTGCCCAGCTTGTAGTTGCCCAGCGCTAGGTAGTATAGGCACTCTCGTCGCCGTTCCGGCGATGTCCTGAAAATCTCTGAGAGAAGCATTACACCGAGGTGTTGATCGTTTCGTGTATTCGACTTGACAAGACCCTGCAAACGCGAGTGTTAGTCCGGCTCAATGTTTGAGTGGAGAACGTGTGAAAAGACTTACCCAGGCATAATTGAATTTGGTCTGGACACCGACCATGTCGCCCTCCTTTTCATACTGAGACCGCAGAACCTGCAGCTCTGCAGGGTTGAGCGGCGTTTCCGCATCGATGGCATCTGCATGGAGTGTTAGTGATGCTGCGTGGACGAAGTGATGCATAACCGAGGTGGACTGACATGGCAAGTTGGTCATCTTTATTGGATGTAAGTGCGCTTGCTTTTGCCGCTGGAGTATGGAGAGTCTTCTGCTCGCAGATTAGAGTTATGAAGTAACAGCTGGTATGCGCGCTCGCTGTGGGAAGTCAGAATGAGAGGATGATATAGAGATGCAAAGGTCGTGTTGCAGTCGTCACAAGGCCACAGCGGGTTTTGTGTGGCTGAAGCTGGGGAGCTCAGGCCTCACATCTTCCAGCATGTGCCAGACACCTAGGTACCCAGGTAGCCCCCGTTGTCTCTTAAGTGGCGTAGCGGTGACGCCACCACCTCGGTCGGGCTCGAGAGGCTCGCATCCTGGCACCCCCCGCGATAAGATAGTCGTCCCGACGACGAGATTGTTGTCCGATCGGCAACCAATGGCACCAGACTTACACACTGTACTTTGCTCAACCACGCGCGGTCACTTTATCATTTCGCATCTGTAAGAGTAGAGGAGAAAACCGCCGAACATAGGACTGCAATACGGAGAACACATATCATACTCGAAGAACACCGTAGAGAAGGATTTTATCACCCATATAAACCCATCAAAATGATCCTCGGAGAAGAACCAGCCACGGTAAGGCACCGCGCTGCTTACATCTGCAACGCTACGACCAGTTACTGACGATGCGGCAGTTCATCCACCACACAATCAACAACTTCAACATCGCGCCCGACAAGGTTGCTGTTGCACGAGTCAATGAATCTCTCTCAACTCTTCAGCAGGCGCGTGAGCTGCGTCTTCAGGAGGCGGAGAATGCGCTCAAGAGTATGTCTTGCGCCTTGTCATTGACAAAATATAACCCTCGCGCTGACTGACAATCAACAGAGCTCTCCCGCCAACTCAACACGATGCAGTCGCAGCACAACGATCTGACCTCCACACACTCATCCGTCGCGCACGCCTCGGAGATCGCGCGCCTCGACACGCAGAAGTTCCGCACCGCCAAGGCCGCCTCCGACCTAGAGATGGAGACGGAGCGCCTGTCCAGCCAGGCCGCGGACCTCGCCGCGCGGCTGCAGGACCTCGAGCTGCAGGGCGTGGACGGCTCGCCGGCCGACGCGGCGCGCGATCCCGTCGACGACGAGGTGCTGCTGCGCCTGAAGGTGTACCGCAGCCTGGGGATCGACATTGAGCGCGACGAAAAGGATGGCGACTTCACGAAGGCGATCGTGCGCAACGACCGCAAGGGCGACGTGCATGTGGTCAACATGGACAAGAAGTTCTCGCGATTCTTCTACGCCAACTACTTTTGGCAGACGCTCTGAGTAGCTGTTTGCAGCGACCGCATTGATGAAGTTATGGCATTTGCATAGGGTCGGCGTTTCAGGATATTGTTGTATAGGATACTACTTCGTGCAACGAGGGCACTTGTCAGATTAAGGATGGGAGGATTGTGACAAACATTATTCAATTGACGTCGTAACATTCATAAAGCCTCGTACAGTTGGCCCCTTTTAAACCCTGTACCTTGTGCATACCGTGCCTTGGCCATCCATCCAGAGACTCCTAGTACCGTAGTCCTATCCAGGTTGTCTCCAGCCTCGATAACCTAAATTCCGCACTGCTTTTAAGACAAGAATCATACAAGAATGTTCCGCCGCCGGGAATCTGTCCTTTATCACGCAACTTTCCTCCCCTGTTTAGTGGGCGAGGCAAAGTATGACTGTTCGCGATCCATGGCCGTTAGAGCGTGCGGCGCGGCAGTCGGCGTCCTCACTCGTGAGCTGTTGGGCGAAACAAAGCTTCGCTCCTTGGCTGGTGCCTCTCTACCTCGGGGCCCATTGCCGTTGCCGCTCTCCGGCGAGCCGTCCTTGGACCTCGGTCGGGCGGCGGGCTGCATCACCACCCAGCTGCCCTCCGCCGCCGGCGTGCTGGGCACCCCAGAGGGAGATGCCCAGTGGTGGCCCCGGCCGCTGCTCCGCTCCATGGGCAGCTCCAGCCGCGAGTTGATCTGCATCCAGACCCCATCGTCCTGGTCGTCCAGCCGCCAGCCGCCCACGCCCTCAAAGTCCCGGCTCATCCCCACAGACGGGATCAGCATGGAGCCCTGCAGGCTGCCGCTGTTGTTGTTGTTGTTGCTCCCGTTGCCATTGTCGCTCTTGGGCGTCAGGCTCCCCAGCGAGCCGCTGCTGCCCGCGCCGCTCAGCCGACGCCGCCGGTACCGTCCCCCGTTCTGCCGGGAGAACGAGTGCGTCGGGCTGCTCTGGCCGCTGCTGATGCTCACGGCGCTCGTGGGCGACGTCAGTGCGTGACCGCCGTGATAGCCGCGGGGGAGGGCATGTAGACCCCGCTGGCCGCCGGCAAAATACTGTGGGATCAGGTGCAAGGCGAGATCGAGATAGACAATAACGACGCGGAACATGAGCAGAGCGAAGGCGATAGTAGTAGTGATGCCGGCGAAGATGGCCAACGGCAGCGTCACCACGAAGAGGAAGGGCACAATGAGGCCGTAGACGGGATTGAGAAGCGCCATTGCGTATGGGTGTGCCGGTAAGAGTGTGACAGACGAAGGTGACTATAAAGGTCTACGGCACTGTGATGGCTTGCGTCCTTTCCCCAGAATGTTTCACTTCACATGGCGGGGAAGAGCATATCGGCACCCGATGTGGTCGTTCTTGTGTGAGCCGAGATGCCGTAGATGATGAGGGAAGGAGAGCAGCTCCTGAAAGAAGAAAGCTAGAGCTCTTCCCCGTGAGGCCCGTGAGGGGGATGGAGGGAACGCTAGATAAGAGACGCCTCCTCTTAGAGGAGAGGGAGTGAGAGGGAGAGAGGGTGTGTGATTGTGAAGGAGCTGGAGGTGTGTTAGAGTGTTAGTTAGCTGCGGCAAGCTCCAGTCCAGTACCACAATGCAATGCAATGCCGCCGGTTGGATGAGGAGACTGGCCTACATTAGCTCGCAGATGGCGTTTTTTCTTGGTGGTGTTTCACAGACCATACAGTATAGAAATGACATGTGAAATCAAAACCCAGCGGGGTATCTAGATTCTAGGAGCAGGCTTACAGCATACAATAGCATTCCGGCCATTAACAAAGGGCATGTTGGAACCAGCCGAGCTCGTGTGCCCGAGTGCGAGCTTGAAGCAATTGATCAAGAAGTCCGTGGCATTGTAAACTACCTAGGTGGTTTTATGGTACCTACCTAGGTAGTATAGGCTTTGTTCATTGCCGGGCTATTTGAAGATGTGTCGAAAGTACAGTCAACGACAGAAAACACATGCGTCCCGAGAGGCAGGCTCTGTCAGTCAGGGCACCTAAGCCATCTGCATGCAATGGTTTGCCACCTAACCGCCAACGGATGTCGATCCGTAATGTTATCCTCTATTCTCTACCACAGCGGAAGTAACCTTATCGAGGCAATCAGCAACTTTTCCAAATAACATATGTTGAATAAATTAGTGGTGTTGTAGTTACCTAGGTAGAGTCTCCCGCAACCCACCGGACTGACTCCATTCTTCCTCATCCTAATCGCTATAAGGGCGACAAGAGGCTCTGCTAGATCACCCAAGGTTTCCTTTAGCATCAGTGACTAAAGGAAAAGCTCATGAGGCCCCGGTATTGATCATCTAATCCATCCAAAGCGAGGGAACCCTTGTCTTACCTTGGAGATGGGGCATCGGATGGTGTCGTAGCGGCCGAGGCCTTCTGAAATCCGGGGCCGCATTAGCGTCTGCTGACAGGGCGACCCAGATTGACTAATTATCTGCCTCGCACACTGACTTGCATTAGCTCTTTGACATCATTCACACGTACACTCCCTATCTTTACCTCACCCTCGATGCTTTGATGCCCTGCGTTTGTGGCTTGCACAGCTCTTCAGCATCACTCACACTCCGGGTCGGCCTCTGCGAGTCTGGAACAACTTACACATGCTGACCGGCCCCATTGTACCTCGAGAGTACTTCTTCGGGACTAATACGATATCATTCTCAGTTATGAACACTCGCTCCACATCATAGCATTTTGAGGTAGACACGCTGTGTCAGTCACTCGGTCACAGCCATGTGTCCACCAACATCCTCGAACCCACCACACCCTACGGATGACCGTGCAGATTCTCCGCAAAATGACGATTTCCCCTGGGATGCCGGCGTCTTTGACGCACACTGCCACCCGACGGACACAATGTCCTCGATCGATGGCATTCCTGGGATGGGCGCTCGTGTCCTGACTATTATGGCCACACGGTCTCAGGATCAGGAACTTGTGGCGTCTGTCGCCGAGAAAAAGGGCGTTCGCAGCCAGGAGGCCATTCTTGCATCAAATACAGCCGAGAGCGTCATCCCGGCCTTCGGATGGCACCCCTGGTTCTCCTATCAACTGTACGACGACACACTGGAGTCTAAAGACTCTACGTACAATCCTAATGACGCATCGCCGGAGACCCAGAAAACAGGCCACTACAAAGCTGTGCTAGCTCCGCCGCCTTCTGAGGAGGATGGCTTCATCGCCGGTCTTCCAGACCCCAAGCCCCTATCCGCATTTCTTGCGCAAACCCGGGATTACCTGCATGCATATCCGCTGGCTCTCATCGGCGAAGTCGGTCTAGATAAGGCTTTCCGGCTGCCTAATGCCTGGTCGGATGCCGAGCACTCGGCACGCGATGATACACTGACTCCAGGTGGCCGGGAGGGCAGACAACTGTCGCCATACCGGGTGAATATGGATCACCAAGTCCGCATTTTGAAAGCCCAGCTGGCTGTGGCTGGGGAGCTCGGACGAGCATGCAGTGTTCATGGTGTCCAAGCGCATGGCGTTTTATTCGAAGCCCTAAAGAGTCTTTGGAAAGGGCACGAGAAGCGGGTGGTGAGCAAACGCGAGCAAAAAATGCTGGCGAAAGGGGTCAACGAGGACTTCTCGTCATCCGAAGGCGAAGGACAGAGCGGCGGGAAGAAGACGACGAAGACACCAAAGTCCAGGCCGTATCCCCCACGTATATGCTTGCATTCCTTCAGCGGGCCGCTGCAGGTGATGAAGCAGTACACCGAGGACAAGAAGATCCCAGCTAAAATTTTCTTCTCCTTTTCCGTATGCATAAACTTCTCTACGCCCAGCGGCGAGGACAAGACTCCGCAGGTCATCCGTGAGTGTCCCGACAACCGCATTCTGATAGAGAGCGACCTCCACACAGCTGGCAAGTCCATGGACAGCATGCTTGCAGAGATGTATAGGAAAGTCTGTGAGATCAAGGGCTGGGGACTAAGAGAAGGCATCGAGAGGATACGAAAGAATTATGAGGAGTTTATATTCGGTTGATAGCCGATCTCAATCGAGATAGTCACAGTTTAATCAAATAAAGCGAACAAAATCTAAAATAGCCGTCGTTCATATTGATCTATCATACTGTCCCATATGCCGTTGGACCGTTCTCGAAACCCCTGACCTAGATGACGGACAATGGCCTTCTTCCTCATTATGCGACGGACATCGCGCTCAATGCAAAAAGGTATACCAAAAAAACATAGGAAATGTGGATTAGTGAATCACAGAAGGCTAATATACAATGAAGAAAGAATGACAAGGGACACAACGAGTGTAATCATTCGCCATGCTTCAAGGACACATTTTCTAGTGCTTTGTGTCCCGCAACACATCATCCGCTCCAACCGACGAGTCTCCATCGCTGCTCGGCGTGTAGATGCTCGAGCCGGGAGTGTATCTGAACCCATCGGTCACCACGCTCGGCGCCATCGCCGAGGTGTTCTCATTGCTGTCCTCGTACGCCGGCAGCATCTCGTCCTGCACGCCGTGATACTCCGGGAAGGCGGAGGTCGGGCTCGGCAGCTCCGCGGGGATCTGCCTGATCTCATGGCCGGGGTGGTGTGCTTGCTGAGCATGGTGGCAGTGATGGTGCTGGCAAACGCGCTGGTGAGAGCGGCCCTCCTCGGCGGCGACCATGTCGCCCACCATATCGGCGGCGTTGCGGAAGGATGCGATCTCCTGCTCCATGGTCGTGCTGTCCTCGCTGTCGGACCTCTCGCGCATCATGGCGGTCTTCTCCTCGTCCTCACCGTCGTCGGCGCAGAACCGCCCGAAGCACAGCCGCGAGAAGAACGACTTGCAGCGGGCCTTGCGGGAGGCACGTCGGCGTTGGAAGGCCTCGCGACGAGACTGACGGCGGGAACGGCGCTCTTCTCGGGTGCCGCGAAGGCAAAAGCGGCGGTGCAGCATGGTGACCAGGATTGTCAGGAGGACGACGCTGACAATAGCCTTCAGGGGATGAGGGAAGCGTCGAAAGTGAGGGGGAGGAGGAGGAGGCTGTAACGGGTCAGTAAGGGCGTCTATTCTAGAATTCAGGGTAAAACGTACGGGTGGTCGCCGATGACCGCCATGAGGAGGCCCTTCATGGTGATGCGGTGGTGGTGGCGGAGGAGGGGGTGGGAATGGTGGACCATCCTTCGGAGGCTCTCCATGGGGAGGACCGTGGGGAGGACCATGAGGAGGACCATGAGGTGGCTCTTCAGGAGGGCCCTCAGGCGGTCCATCAGGTGGCCCATCAGGCTTCTCGAAATCAAATGGTCGCTCGGGACGATCTTCCTCGAAGTGGGGTGGGGGGCCATGGTGGTGCGGCCAGTCGCCCTCATGCGGCTGCTCATGATGCCAGGGGCCTCGGTGATAATCAGGATGTTCAAATTCGGGCGGGAACTCTGGTGGGAACTCGTGCGGGAAATCGTGATCCGGTCCCTCAGGAGGAGGGGGAGGGGGAGGTGGCGGCGGACCAGGAGGGCCACGATGAGGAGGCTCCTCCGGATGATGATGCGGCGGTGGAGGAGGTGGAGGAGGAGGTGGGCACTTGCAGAAGGGAGGAGGATGAGGGAAGCCTGGCTTCTTGTGGTGAGGAGGATGCCACGGCGGTCTGGGGAAAGTATGGTTGCCATGAGTGTGATTGCCATGATGTCCAGACATTCCTGCCTCTCCGTGAGGGTGCTCCCAGTGTGGGTGCGGGCGGCGGTGGTGGTGTCTCGGTCCCTCGCCGTTGAAGAAGTCGAGATCGCTGTAGAAGGCCATTGCGGCACCGCTCATCTTGTGGTAGATGGCCTTCATCATACACTTCAGATTGTCGCACTGGCCGATGCCACCCTTCCTGTCGGACCAACCAAACACATGGTGAAGATGCCTCTCCTTCATGAAGATACGCTGCTCCAACTCGGCCAACTGCATCCGTAGAAAATCTAGCTCGGCGAGTTCATCATCCAAATCACGGTCCATCTCGTCCTTGGCGAAATCGCTCTTGAAATCACCAATTTTGTGAACGCGCGTCATCGAAGCCGAGCCTTCAATATCGGAAATCCAGACAGGAGCAACCTGCTGGAATCGAATGGTAAAGCCAACGTCCTTAACCGGGTTGCCGTTAACATAGTTGACATCGAAACTCATGAGCTGCTCCTGGGGTTCATCATTCCATCTCACGCAGGTGAAGTTCCAGCTAGCAATGAAAACACGGTCCTGGTCAGCTGTAAGAGAACCAGAACCTCCCTTGGGCAAGGTCTGGCCGTTGATGGTCACATTCGCATATCCACAAGCATCCTTGGATTCGAGAACATCGAAACGGAAGGCCTGTAACGATTAGCAACCCATTTTTTTGCGGAGTTATGATTCTGGATATACCAAATCCTGAGAAAATGGCTCATGGCCTGACTCGGGAAGGCGAAGATTGATGAAAGCCGACGGGATAGCATCTGCAGGAAATCCAAAGTCAGTGAATTTTCGAACGATTATAGACACATGTATCATTTACCATCGGCTGATTCCAATGATACAGCTCTTGCCAGCGCCGGCGCCAGCAAGAGGGCAGCCTTCGAAAGGCCACGCATGCTGAGAGAGAATCAAGCACCAGTCCAATACAGGGAAATTTGTGATTCGAAAAGGCACCCTTTGTGGACGATGGCCAAGGCAGCGTCGTCAGTGATAGGCAGACGATTCACTGAATAGAAGAGATAGAAGCCTGAGACTATGGCTCCCGGGGTGGCGAGGATAATAAGAGGCGCAAATGAGTCTCCTGGCCGCGAATGTGGGGGGACGGGGTCGGGTCTGAATCGAAACCAGGTCGATGGGATCCGGGCTCGACCACGACTTACACCTCTCAATCTAGTGGTTTTTAAATTTTCAAAGCGCAGGATATCTCAAGATATGTAGCGCCAAAGCACCGTGATAATTGCCTTTAACCATCAAAATCAGATACTGCGACGGGAGAGAATGAAAACATAGGAAAACATCAGTTAACTTGGTTCCTAAGGCTGATACGCTCCGATGCTCACCGGGAGGCATTCGCAAGCAGTTGGATGCTGGTGGGGTGCCATCTTGGCAGGCAACCACTCAGGTGGGAGGAGCCAGAGAAAGGGTGACGAATCCCTCTAGCCCGTTTGATCTAACCACCGACTGGGGTCGGCATTACCGCCTCGCTCGCGGCTCGCATCAACTTCAAAGTATGATGCAATACTGTGCTGACACGAAAGAGAAACAATCCTCAAATGAAGATTATTTTGAACGCCGTACTGATCATAATCTTGACGTCTTGATGGATTTTGCGATGTGTGCTCAGCTTCAGCCAATAACCAGCCCTATCCTGGTGAGGCGATGTGACCCCACTAGACTTTTGTCATGAACTGCCGACTGGGCACGGGGGATGATGTACGGTGGGCCATCCAGCTCAAAGTTCATGAAAGAGCAATAACGAGGTAGACAAGCCATACCACATCTCGTTTGGTTTGACGATACAAGCAGCCACTTGCAGCTGCTAATACTTGTCTTCGGGTACTGGATCGAAAATGACACAGCTCAGCCACAGTGGCTAGTAGGACAGTAACACCTCAAAAATAATACCCAGAAGCCAGGCGCTCAGGATGAAGGGACTGGGTACTGCTCCTGGCCTCGATAACAAGCGTAACCTCACCGAGGGTATCATGAAGTCATCCATTTGTCTTTGAATATGGTGTGAACAGCGTCCCACGATTCATAGATCCTAGAGGATCAAGTCCAAGGCGCGAGCGATACTCATAGCATCAGTCAAACTCTTCAGCGTATGAAGCTGCGGCGTTTCTAATACGACATGGCCTTGATCTGAGGAGTGCTCGGTCAGTCATTCGCATGAGTGTAGAAGCTGGACAGGTATCGTCGAGATCTACTCGACAGCTTCCATCTGTACGCCACGTAGTTTGAAGGTTGCTGCCGGGAATGTTGAATCTTCAGCATTTGATCAGCCCGTTCTCAGGACAAAACAGAAACCCATTGAAGCCACGTGGAGGCAGACGGTATCACGATGCGCCTAAAAAATTGGATGCGCGACAGCGTTATGAGAAAATTGTCTCCATAAATGCTGCGTGATTGGCTGCCATGCCATGACAGCAACCAGCAGGGTCATGTCAATTGAAACCGTCTGATCTTTACTTCCATAGTTTACCAATGTTGCTCGCAGTTGAAAGCGCAATGCGATTTCTTGGTGACTTGAAGGCTTCTAGAAAGCGATGTCTCAGAGGGAAAGATGCGCCAAAGTTTCTATCGCGTCTAAGTGAGAGAGCACGTGACTTTCGGCAATAGTCGCTTAACCCAATTGCTACGCTTGAATAAGCGATCTCTCATTCGCTTAAGGGCAGCTTCAACTTTCTTCGAGCAGCTGGCAAGCATCACAACGAATACCTCAATTCGCAGCCATTGACCCCCGCCACCATGCAACGGACATTCCGCTTGCTCGCGAGCGTCAAGCCAGCGCGCTATCTGGAGCCTGGCGTTCCGACTGGCCTCACTGGCCTCTACACACATGGCTCTCCACGGTCGACCCTCATCTACCTCTATACAAGCACCCTCGACAAGCTGAAGGCCGTCCCGGAGTCGTCGCTTTACCGCCAGTCTGTCGAAGCTCTGACCAAGCACCGCATGTCGATCGTCGAGTCCGCGAAGCCTCCCGGCTATGATGAGTGGGTGGCCAAGGCCAAGAAGCAGATGTCAGAGCACCCGGAGAGCTTCAACGTCAAGTCGCTCGGGAGTGTCGATGGAGCTCGTGCCATTCGTGTCGAGCGTGGCGGCATGTCCTTCGTGATCCGTCATCTACCCCAGGAGAAAGATATCCGCTACGAGGAGTGGGATGGCGAGATTGACGAGGGTCCGGAACTCGAGGGCCCGCGGAGTGAGGAGGAGCGCAAGGACCAGGTACTCCTTGCGGAGAGAAAGTCTCTGGACGAAGTCGAACAGATTCATTGGGAGCCGGAGCCGCAATTAACTGCTGATCAGTATGTGCAACCAAGAAAGCAACTACTTCAGAACATTCAATGCTAACCCAGCCCAGAATCGAAGAGATCGAAGGCAAGATCGGGGCCGGTCTGATCGAGGAGGTTGTTCAGGTTGCTGAGGGCGAGCTACGAATAGTCGACACAATGATTCAAGCTAAAGTGTAAGTGATATAGGTCTGGTGTATCACGGCCGAAGCTAATGTCATGATGATGTAGATGGGAGAGCCTCGATGAGAAGCCGGCAGAGGGTCAATGGTCATACTTCGAGAGGAAAGCATAGTGGATTTTCGCACGATCTATGAATGATAGGACATCATTCAGTAGTCTATTGCAGGCTGTGTAGAGTACAGAGCTAGAAGATGTACATATTTAGACATTCTGGGAATCGTAACGGTTGATCGCTCAAGGTATCTTCGCAACGTCTACGTCAACTGTGACTTTCGAAATTGGCTGGCTCTATGGTGCGAGATCTGAATAGTGGCAATCTGAAGAGACGCACGTGTATCTGCGACAGGTAAGCTTCGGTTGGATAGAAATCGCAATGGTCCAAACATGATCATCACACCGCTATAATATAAGTAACGGATGATGATAGAACGTAAAAGTAAAGTAAATCATCTACAGTCATTATCGCAGCTATGTATTCATACTTGCTGATTTCATGGAGCATGTATCTTGTTTTCGTGTTATTCATGTTGGCCTGCGTTTGCTGAGGTTATAGTGGGGTATTACAATCAGAGGCAAACTCTGAGAAATCTTGAACGAAACCTTTCACTCCCCAAACAACATATCACCATTCCAAACTATTCTTTTCGGAGAGGAAAGGCAATTGTGCATAAACTTCCGCACCAATAATGACTGAGCCTGCAAGATACATTCGTCCGTGTCGATCTCAACGACATTTGAGGAATTCGGAGGATTATCACATAAAAACTTACCAGGAGCATTGAAAACAGTCACCAAATTCCAAACGCATATCTATACACCACCATGTCTGTTCGCAAACGAAGACGATCATCGTCCGTCTTCAGTTCTGCGAGTAGTCGATCACAGCCCGCAACACCGCGTTTCACGGAGGGTTCTATCAATCCTCTCAGCCATACCCCCAGCACACTGAAGCAGTTTGTCGTCGCCGGCCAACCCGATTATGAAGATGTTCCGTCTCGTCTGATACCTGGATTTCCGCACCGGCCCGTACCCAGACAGGCAAGTCAGGCTGAGCATAGCCAAAGGTCGAAGCAGCCTATCGATCGGGCTAGTAGTGCCGATGAAGACGATCAGGAGGACGAGGAGGACAGCGATGATGCCTACACGACGGCGGCTTCTGATGCCAATTCCCGCCAGCGGAAAAGCCGAAATGCGCAGCGCAAACGGGAGGCGCAAGAAAAACATCTTGGATTCCTGACGGCGGTGATTTTACGCAGCCTAGAAGACGGCAATATTGCGCGTGCGAAGCGCGCATTCGGCCTTGTGAGGCGGGCAGAGATCCAGGGTCGGCCGGTAGATCTGCGGAAGGACGGACTCTGGACTCTTGGGGCAGAAATCCTAATGCGAGATGGGGAACAGCCACTGGGTCGTATTGATGAATTTACAGGTGATGTCCCGCGTGAGCAAGAGATCGCCATCGATCAGAAACATCGACGATGGGGTTCTGCTGCAAACATGCCCCAGGTTAGGATTTTCTTTGAGGGCCTCATCCGCCGGTACCCCTACAGCCGCCTGTTTCCTAAATCAATCAGCGCGCTGGACTTCTGGCCTGCATTACTGGGGTGCGAGTTTTACAATGTCTACATTGAACATAAGTTGCGCTTAGAGAGGCTGGAGATCGAGTCTGAGAATTGGTCGGATATTGGAGAATCCGAGATGCCAGTGGATTACAGCAGTGGCGGCGAGGACTCATTCCATGAGCGACAGCGGAGTGGCCGTGATATACGCTCAAAAGCGGAGAAAGCCAGAGTGTCACAAGATGCATACGCAGACATGCGAGAGATCACGAGGCAAATGGACGAACTTATGCAAAGTCAACCATATTCATCCAGCACCGAACTCTTACGATTACGTGGGATGATGGCTCTTTACATGGGTGATCTAGCAATGCCTCCACCTCCAAGGTCAGCTGATGAGGAGAACGAAGGGCGGACTAGAAAAACAGAAGAGCGCGAGCGAGCAAGGGGAGTTTTCCTCAAAATAGTTGAGCAAGGGGGAAAATTGGATAGATGGATTGAGCAGCTGCTAGGCTTAGAAGAATTTGTCGATGAGCTAGACACGCCAATGTTTTCGTCACTACCAATACGATAAGGTACATTTGGAGTACATCTTGGTTTCATTAGAAAGCTTATATCAAGCCTTTTCTGTCTCAAGCATCTATCATCTCAGTATCGTCCTCTGTCTCTTTCGGCGGCTTCTGGATCTTGTTCTTCGCCCAACGTTGTAGAATTACTGCCAGGTTTCTGCTCCCAACAACAACGCAATAGTCGCCTTCTGGACTCCAGGTTACTTGCCTGCCCACAAACGAGGCGTTTCCAAACTGCTCTGTACGATGTGGCTTTATCGCGTCATGTGGACTTGCCATGTTGTATTTGGATCTCCAGCTTGCTATAGTTTCTGCACTATACAGGGTCGACAAAGCCGCCACAGTATCTGCGTCCCATTTTGCACCGGGCCGCTTTGACTCCTTCTCGTCTGGGACTGGAGCCTTCTGGTTGGCTGCAGCTACCGATTTCTTACGATGAGCGATCGGCACCAACCACGATGGCCGGGGAATAGGAATGCTTTGATCTCTGTCCGGGTCAGTAAGGGCATCTGTGTACTCCTTATATGACGAGAAGCGAGCGAAGTCCCAAAAAAAGATGTTGGACTTCGCATTGCAGAAAGCTAATACCGGGTGCTGGCCATAGGAATGAAATAGACTAAATCTCATGAAGAACTGTGGACCACATCCCGGCGTAGCTAGAGTCAAGAGACGGGTATACTGTGATGGGCATGAAGGAGAGATGATGGGGGCGAATGCAGATCGAGTAGTCCGACTTTGATCATATGTTGTCGGCGCTGTCGACGGAGGGGGCGGAGGGTCATCACTGCTGAAGCCTTCTATTCTCCAGATAACAAGAGTCTCTTCATGGCAAGCCCGAGACATTATGTTATCACCGAAGAACGCAACGCTAGGTATCGAAAGGATTTTAGTATAACATCAGTCATATAGAATTGAAGAGACCTACCAGTCGATAAGACCGCTATGAATCTCCGACGTGGAGAAATGCGGATAGTGCACGAGAGTTGGGGGTTTGGGTAGCGGCTCTGTGGGAAGATCTGGCACCGTCCACTTCAAGTCATTAGATAATGTGTGTCGGTTATGCGGAGAGGATAGACCTACGAGATTGATTACTTGATCATGGCCGGCAGAGATCAAGTAACGGCCAGTATTGTGGAATGACTATGTTACTGTCAGACCTGAAGGGTTTTTAATAATCATGCGGGATACAGACGATACTAAGCAAATTCCAGGAATGGCCTTCTCCTGCTAGGAGGCAGAGACATGGCTGATTAGCATGGACAGGTTCCAAACTCCATATACGGATGGTAGTGTCATCGGATGCAGAAGCTATGATCCAAGGATTGACGGGTGAAGTTGCGAGATCATTGATTTCCTGTTTGAAAGCACAGTCAGTCACAAAGACCGAGAGAAGCAGTTTAAGCTTATCTACTCACTCCACCATGACCGACCAGTGTCTATAGATGGACATCAGCTCTGTATATAGACGAAATAAGGCATGACTTACCGTGACTAATGTCCCTTCCCTGATATTGTAAATTTTGATTTTGGCATCTCGGCCAGCAATGCAGAGATATGCCCGTTCAGTCTCGATATCTTTCGTCCAGCAACATGAACAGTTCAAAGCTTCTGGCTGACTCTTGTGTTAGACTATTAATCTGGTGGAAGAACTCACAACTCACATCATCATCTCGAATCACGCGAATGACCTGGCATGGATTACCACCGGCTGTCTGCGAAAGCCGACAAACAACAACCTGGAGGATTTTTGTTAATTTATCAGAATATGAAGAAATAATCTTAGAAATGCGCTCAATTGGAGACCAAGGGTTGCATACATGCTTCTTGCTAACAGCAGCGAATATAGGATCAGCCCCTATAGGATTATAGGGGTAGAATTTGACATCAAAAAACTCTGGTAAGTGATTGTTAGCAACAAAGAATATACAGTGAAAGCACACCAGAAAAACATACCTGTATCTCCCTGGTCGTCAAGCTCCTGAGAGACATAATCAAAGTCATCCTGTTATGGCCCATGTAGTCAGTGAGCGGGCTTTGTAAACAAGTATGGGAAATTCACATGAACACTATGCGGATTTTGTATCAGGTTAAAGTAGAATACAGATCCTGTGAATCACCTAGTACATGTATGTAGTGGAAAATATGGGGTGGTGCTGGGGCAAGATCATCATTGTAAACATAGGGGAGGACCTACCTCAAATCCGAAGGAGGCGCGTAACCTTGGGAGATCCCACTCCGCGTCTGTGATGAGTGCAGGCATGCTTCGCTTGATGCAAGGAGATGTTTTAACTTGGTGATTGCACGTCTCCTCAATATTCACTCAGTCGGTGGTGAACTGCTGACACACCTAGCATGTTGAGGAAGTGATGTCGTCGCGGTCAGCTGGGCCATGAAGTCGAAGGGAGAAGCACATAAAGATTGATGGCATGGGTGTGCAATGGTTTTGGTAACATCCAGCTGGCACCCTCGGCTGGCAGGCCATTGCAGCTGGTGGGAACTGACGAGCCAACTCTGGGTGGCTCCACAGCCGACCAAGCTCCTACTTCGACCATTAATGCGACATCTCATCTCTTATTGCATCAAGAATCGATATTGTAGCCAAAGTAATGTGTTTAATTCTACACTATCTTGAGCATTTAGATCTCCTAGTGAAAATAGTAGGGGATAGGTGAAGGTAGTCCGAAACGAGGATCAGACATACCAATACCCTGTTTAATTTCCCAGGTTTGCTTACATCCATCATAGTCATAAATAGCAGATTGGTGAGATCGCCTTGAGAATGAAATGCTGGATTCTTGGATCTCAATTTATTATTGTTATCATATCATTGATGGCCTCTAGGAAGAAACGCTAAATTGATTTATGTCTTGATTGGATTGCTTCAAAAGTGGCCGCGGTAGTTATGGACCAATGGAGTAGGACCCAGAATGTAAAGGCACGACGAGTGCAACTTGTGAATGCACAGACATGGGCATATTCTCTGATAA